ATATATATATATATATATATATATTATATTGAAAAATAAAATAGAGTGAAGAACAATTTCTTTACTTCTGACGAAATCCATTTTCTCGAAGAAGTGGCGATGGTAATTTCAATCACTCTGACAAAATGTTCGTTAAGAGCATATCCTAGGAAATGGTTTCGTCAAAAACGAAAAACGTTTCGTGAGATTTAAGTTTCTATTTTTTTACGGTACATAATTTTTTTTTCTCCAGTGCCCCTGCTAAAGACATTTCGTCAATACAGGCATCAGAAGGGCAGATTTGTTGGCCACTCTTTCAGGGTCACTCATATTAGGTGGGCAAACGTTGCCCCAACAGTAAGGACAGATAGTACAGACAAAGGAAAGAACATCCATGCCTTGTCCGGGATTCGAACCCAGAACCTTCCTGATGAGAGGCCAGTGCCGTGACCCCTACACAGTCCGGTCAGCGCAGTACACAACTTAAATAATAAACAATTTACTTTACAAAATTTATAAATTTATACAAATGAATGAAATTCATTCAAATAAATTAACTAAAATGAAAATCAAATCGTTAAATACATAGATTTAAAAATAGATTGGCTTCATAGATTGTACAATTTGTATATTTTAGAACCTCGTTTTAAAAAGAGTATAATCATAAATACAAAGCTAAACTAATATAAATTAATATCAAATGAATGAATGAAGCGAGATCAAATAGCAAAGCAAGCCAAAAAGATCTGCGAAAGCATCTGCAGGTGTTGGCAGGAACAGCCAGCAGAGTGTGAAGCCATGTTTTATTAATTAATTTTTTAATGATAGAAAAGCTAATTAATAAAACATGGCTCCACATTCTGCTGGCTGTTCCTGCCAACACCTGCAGATGCTTTCGGTGTTGGCAGGAACAGCCAGCAGAGTGTGGAGCCATGTGTTATTAATTAGCTTTTCTATCATTAAAATGATAGAAAATGATAGAAAAGCGTTCGTGGGTTCGGTCCCTGCTGGTCGAAGACTCCCCGTGTAGTAAATGGTGACTGATGCACGTTAAATCTGTCGAGTCTCAAAGTCCTCCATGTTCCAATAACAAATCAATACCTCTGGGGGTACCGATCCAGGAGTTTCCTTGTCTTCTGGATTGGTTCAAAATTACAAGGCTACGGCGTTGAACATTTGTAGTCGTAAACCCAAAAATTGGGTCGACTGTTCAACGGCGGTCATAAAATAAAAAATAAAATGATAGAAAAGCTTCTGAATTTCTAGGTACTTTTTTTTAAAATGATTTTGAATAGTATAGGTTGAAGTGATGAAGTTCACAATTTGAAATAAATTGTACAAATAGAACTTCATAAAGATATTTTTTAAAGGAAAATAGTATTTAAAAATTTGCAGTAATGAAAGTTTTTCGGAACAATTCCGTTTGAACTTCAAATTCTGTCTTTTAAAATTACGTGGAAAATGTGTAAGTAAAATGTATAAGAATGTGTGAAAAAAAATTAGTCTTAAAGTCAAAAATGTTTTTAACCATTATCAAAATAAGTGATAAAAACAAATTACTAATCTTAAAAATTTACACTTTGTATGAAATAAATTTTGGATAAAAGAAAATAATAATTTTGTGTAAAAGGTTTTTGATTCTTCAAAATAGTTCCAGGAGATATAATGTAAAATCAGCTGATAGTAGGAGAGATATTGCAAAATCAGCTGAACATTAATTAAATCAAATTTCAGACACCTTTCGCGACTGAAATATGGGGATTATATTTTCTAGATTGCGTCTACTTTATATTTTTGGGTTTTAATTCCTAGCCTGTCGTAAAAAAGAATGTTTATTATGAAAGAGTACGTCCTTTGCGTCTAATTTGTTATTTAAAATAGAACATACTCAGAGTAAACGTATGTTAAAATAAGCTTCTTGAAATATTAAGAAAACATCATAGTACAGTGCGCGAAAAAAGGGATCACCCTGAATAACTTTTAATCTAGTGATCGGATCTTTCCCTTCTAGAACCAAATCATAATGGTTCGAAGAAGTGACCTCAAATATGTTGATGAAATGGTGAAAATACGTCAATTCGTTTAAAAATACGAAAACAGACACAGAAGAGTTTCGGTTCTCTTAAAAAATAATGGAGATATGATGAAATACGCAAAAAGAAAAATTAACATTAAGAGGTCTAAGATTTGGACGCGAATTCAAAACTCCCGAATTCGTCGAAAAAGGTATATTTATACACAGAAAATAAATTTTGTCTCTGATTTGCTCTAATTAATTAGCATATAATGATGTCACTCCCTCGAACCAATAAGATTAGTCCTAGAACGTGAAGATCCGATCATTAGATCAAAAGTTATTCATGGCGGTCCGTCTTTTTTTTTGCGCACTGAACGTGAAATTCAGATAAAATTTAAACTGCTGATCCGTTTTTTATTTTTTGTTCCGTCTTTTATGTTCCGTCGTTCTTACGTCTGTACAGTTTTTTATTTCTGTATCACTGTTAACATTGAAAGAAATGCAAAGATTTATATCTTTCATTTGTTTTTCCAAGTCAGAGAATCAAATACTCTTATACACGCGTGCTTTTTTTGAAATTATTATTTTTAAGTTGAAATTGCAGTTGAAATTGAAAACTCGCTACAAAAATATTGTTAGTTTTCATGCTTAATTTCTATTGTTTAGCTAACTTGATTTTCCTTTGTAAAAAATATGCAATTTCTTAGATTAATTTTCATTTGTAATTTTGCTTTGTAATTATTGCTTATCAAATAAGGAAACTCATACAGTCAGACAGAATCTAATTTTCCAAATTATGAATTCTTACTCACACATTTCGTTTTTGAATTTCTTTATCGTTCAACTAAAGAAAGTCAGTAAATGGTATTTGTAAGTTATGACCAAATCATCTGATATTTATTCTCTATATCGCGAATTTACTCATTTATTGATTATGAAGTTAGATTTTTACTAATTCTGCAGTTTAGTTATTTATTGAATTCCTCATTTTCGATTCGTTAATTCTCTCATTTATTGATTCGCCTACTTATAGCTTAAATAACATATTGTTCTTTTTTACTTGGTTGCTGATTTCTTATTTTTCTCTTATTCGTTAACTTGCTAACTAAAAAATTCATTGGCAGATTTATTGTTTCGATGAATGACTGATTTTTTGATTCATTAATTTGTCATATTATTCAATTTTTTAATGTTTATTAATTTGCATTAAATTTTAAGACTTCATTTAATTAAATTTATTAAATTTTTAAAATTAAATTAATTGAATTCATTAAATTCATAAAACTTATTAAATTAAATTAATTAAAAATTCATTAAATTTTAAAATCTCAATTTCGATGAAATTTCTTTTTGTTTAATTTAAATTTTTTATTCATTATAGAGAAAAATACTTAAATACTTTTTAGTATTCTTTCTCATTTAAGTATTTTTTTAAGAAAAAGCACTTAAAATTATTATTATCAATAAAATGCACAATGAAGTATTACAGATTAAGCTGTTTAAAGTATAACGGTATAGGTTGAAAAATTTTAATTTAGAGCTAATCACTTAAGCTTGATCTCTCAACTGAAATTATTATTTATTTATAATTCAAAATTCTAATTCAAATTGTAGAAGAATCATAGTTAAGCTTAAGGAAAAGTAAAAAACTTATTTTCATTATTTGTCTTAGATTTCTTCATTTTATTCTAATTTAAATGTTTTTTTAATAGTAAATTATTAATAATATTATGGATGTTTCTTTCAAATACTACTATTACTTTGATGTAGTAATTTGATTAAAATGTCATAAGTAAATTTATTAAAAATAAAATATACCTGTATTAACCAGTTTCAGTTTTAATGTATTTGCTATGTTTAAATTTTAAATTTTTTTTCGTCATGCGTATTTAAGTGTAGATATTATTTCTCGCTTTACGAAATTAAATTTTATCAGAGCAAACGTGATTTTAGTTTAAAAAAATCATCTTAATATATTTGCGACCTTATTTATGAATATTAATATAAATATTAATATAAATATTAAATAGAATATTGCACAAGAAAAAAGCACGTAATTTGCCTTACAATTATCTTTTTTACAGCAAAGCTTCAATTGAATTTTTATGGGTTTTCCGTTCTTTGCGATTTTAATTATTTAAAGTCACTAAGTCTTTGAGAGCTTTGAATGCTTCTGTGAAAACTTTAAATTAAATGACAATTAAAAGTCTTCACATGATTCATAGCCTAATTTCAAATGTTTTATTTTGGGATATTTTACACGTTAAAAGTAAGGAAATTTTTTTAAACAGAACTATACCTGGGAATTGCGATGCTATACCAATTTTATTGCCACAATGTATTCGAATAAACATTCTGAAAAATTATAAAACTGCCCAAATAAGAACGAAAATAAGGAAGGAACCTTTAAAAGTTTTGAAAATTGAATCCACGATGCATCATTAAAACCACGACCTTCCCTATTGAATTTCAATTTTGTTGCTAAAAGGGATACTATTTTTTTTTAATTTTAACTGTTTTCTAATTTGTCCCTATAAAAATGATTACTGCTGGGATAGTTTTTCTGCACAACAACCTCTCAAAAGCTTTCTTTTTATTTTATTTCAACACTTATAAAACCGTTTGGAAGTAATCTAAAGGAGTATTAGATTATTTTTACTTGTTAGTAATTTAAATTTTTTCTAGATTACTTTAACATATTTTTAATTATTCAAATAAGGATAAGATATACTTTGCGCTACGTATGAATAGAACGAAATAACATTTTTTTTTATTTCTTATGAGCTGCATAATCAGTCTTCCCGATGCCCTAGTGCGTTCTCCAGAAGTGGTATCCACTCTTTTAGGACCACCACAATGGGTGAGATACCGTTGGCCATGTTAATTTGGACGTCTAGTTTCTGCCACACTAGATGGCAGCACCGAGACTCTATTTGAATGCTAAAGTGCACTAGGAATTTAATTTTAACTAAATAACATTAAAAAAAAACACAAATAACTGTCTCAGAGACACCACCGTAAAGTGAAACTCATTGACGAAGGTGGTGCTATTAGACCTGCCGAATTACAAAAGGGGGAATTCAGGATTCGAATTCTAATGCGATGGTTATGCTCTGGTAGACAGTCATGTCGTTGGAAAACGGAACTGAGCTCCAGGTTGCCCACGTGACTTCAGCTTGCCATCCGTCCTACAACGCCTGTCGTCATATGACGTAATGTTTCTTTGCGAATAATATGCTATTTTCAAAACTGCTATGACTTTTCAACAGTTACTCATGACTGTTAAGTCAAGTTTAGCTTATTTTAAGCCAGCGCAGTCAATGCTTACTATAAAAATGGCTCAAATCGTCAATATGGAGAAAAGTCACAGTTTTGTGAAAACGAAAAGCGTGTGTGGTCTAATTTTTTAATATTTACAAACTTACTTCAATGCTTACTCCAATGCTCATAAAAATTTGTAGATACTGGGAATAAGGCAGTGATTTTTATAATTCTCATTCTAGAGGAAAAATTGTCTAGATGATTTTAAAAAAAAAAAGATTAATAACTTTTAAAATATTTAAGTTATTTGTCCGTTCTAAAACATGGATAATTCTTCGCACGAAGATGATACATATAGTTTAAAATAATCGCTTTTCTACGAGTGTATAGCACTAGAAATGTGGATTTTTTTATTTTTCTTGGTGACAGAGTTTCAAAAAACTATGTTAAAAAAGCATGGCGAGAATGGAAGCTCAAAGAAGCAGCTGAAAGGTGTAAACCACTATGCCGTTACAAGTACTTTGCTCGGGATGCACCAAGGAGGAGATTAAATTGCGTTGCATTCCAAAGGGTTCAATATATCACTAATATATCACTGCCGTGAACCATAGTACTTTGCAAATACACTGAAGATATTACATTTTGTATTGCGTCCACTTAATATTAGTCATAGTATTGATTAATCAAGTTTAAAGAATTGCACGATAACATGGTTAGCACTTTGAGGGACTAGAAAATTCTATAAAATTTTCTCAAGAGGAACCATAAGAATTGTGGTCAGTGTATGCAAGTCGGAAATGAAGGGATCTACTTTATCCTTCTATTTTTTTCTAAATTTGATAAAGTCTTGTGTAGTTTTAAAAGTAAAATTTTTTTCAATGATTTATATAATTGTTTAAAATGAGTAAGAGAGATTTTATTTCACCGTCTTTGAAAGGGTGATAAAAAAATAGTGTATACACTTTTTATGGTTGCTGCTGATTTGAACGATATTAGGTAATAACCCGAATGAAAGCTTCTAATAATGTATTCAATAAAAGTTGGAAAATTATCAGATTATTTGAGACAACCAAAATTAGAAGAATTTAAAATGCATTGAAAAACAAGTTTTAATGCAAGCAAACTGATGATTTCCTTTGAAGAGATTTAATACTAGTTTTTAACATTGGTATAGAGCTGAACAGGTTGTGATCACTGAATAGTGATCACAATAGTGGTCATTGATTAAGCTTTGCTCAATGGAATGTGTATTTGATTTGTAATCTTTCCATGCAATTTTTTTATACACTATAGAAACAATATCGGTCCAAAAACCAGCTTCTTTTAAGCCTCACGCGCAAAGTCTCTCCATAAAAAGACACAAGAGAAATACAAAAAATAAAGAAACTTTTTTATTAAAGCAAAAACATTTATTCATTCACAATGAAACAATTTGAGTTACACACTGTGATCAGAAACATTTATTTACAAAGGAAACTTTTTAGTCACCAGAAACAAAGATTTTTAGTCAATGACTTACTCACTAGACAAATAAATAATGATGGCAGATCTACTTAACAAAATTTTAAATTTAGTAAAAAAAAGGGAACAACAAGTACAATTTTTCGAGTCTTTCAATCAGAAAAATTCCTTTCAAAGTTAATTCTTTGGAATAAGAAATGGTAAATAAAAGCTCACTAATGAAAAATAGTTTTTAAGAAAAATAACACCTATAAAACCAATTTGTTAATTGTGAACCATTTTCCGTAGGTAAAAATGTGAAATAAAAGTTTACGATAAAATTACTGCTTTTGAGAGAAATTTTTTCCCTAAATAAAGATTAGCAATTAGAATAAAATTTAGCAAAAGAATAAAATCACAATTAGTTATCTGAGATAAACATCCACAGTTAATACTCATTAATAAAGATTAATCTGTTTAGAATTAATCAATCTTAAAGAGTATCTTTCCTAGAATAAATACTGTGAATGGTACAATAACTAAAGGATATGACTTTAAAGTAAGATTGTAAATAATATTGAAAATACTATATTAATGATTTAAATTTGATATAAAAAGAAAAACATTTAAGAAAAACACTTGAAAAATTAGAGCTTAGTAACTTTAAAGATTAAAATTATAAATTAAAAACGACTTTAAAGATTAAGATTACATATTAAACACAATTTTAAAGATTGGCTGTACAACCTGGAAATAACTTTAAGAGTAAGTCACGTGACTTCAATCAAGTGAAATAGAATTCGGGAAAATCTTAACTTTTATGTTTAATATCCGTATCTTGCATATCCAAGACCACCCAAGATTCCTAATCCGAGTCCTCCATATCCGCCATAAGCTCCTCCATATCCGCCATAAGCTCCTCCATATCCACCATAAGCTCCTCCATATCCAAGACCTCCATATCCACCGTAAGATCCACCATATCCAAGATTTCCATATCCTGCACCAACGCCTCCATATCCGTATCCTAGACCATAACCTGCAGTTGCTGCTGGTACACCCAAGTATCCTTCACCACCAACATATGGAGCATCGGAGGCGATGAGTACTGCGGCTGGGTTCTGGTTGGCGGTGCCTGGTTCGTTGGTCTGGACCTTGGCTCTGAAGCCGGCTTTGTCAGCGACGTAGTTCACTTGTCTTTTGATTCCTCGGGCATCGGTGAATCCATAGCTACCGACAACGTGCTGTCCTCCAGTACCAGATTCTTCTCTGTGTTGTTCTCCGTGTTTGTCTTTGATGCTGTATCCGAATTTGTAGGGTTTTGGGGCATAGTGCTCATAGACTGGGTATTTGTCATCGACCATCTAGACGTGGAATAAAAAACCTTTTAAAAAATGTAGTTCACATTTATTCAATTTCAGTTAGCATTTCAATAAATAAATCGCTATGAATATTTATGAATTTTTCATAGCTGAAATTTTTATTTAGCACTTGAAATTTACTCTAGTGCTTTAAATAAAGACAATTTTCAGATTTGATCGATCAAATTCGACTGGATTTGGTGTTCATAGATTGGGTACTTGTCATTGACCATCGATTGAAAGGTATAAAATATAATAACATAAAGCATTTTTGTACAGTATTTTATTTAGCAGAATTGTGTTTAACTTCTTAAGTTGTACTTTACATCCTTTGTGTAATTCTGTTCCATTTTAAAACAACGTTTCATGCTTATAATATAAAGCAATTTAAATTGTACTAAGTAAAATTTTTTATTGAAAAAGATTCTCAGATCAGGAATCTGATTGATTTGGATTCATTTAGTTTAATTATGAAATAATGCAAATCATTTTGTTTTTACTTATTAAGCAACAGAAATTGCGTAGAGGAGAATCATAGATTACAAAAGAAGATTAAAAAAATAGAGCAAGGAATCTAAAATTTTTAGATGAATTTAAAATTTTATCCACCTGTCTAATGTTTTCTATAGTGAATCTTAAAATGTTTGAATTCGTTATATTGAAATCTGTAATGTTTTGCAATTATTTTTTAAAGCAATAAGTATAGCCTGTAACATAATCTTTAAACCAACGCATAAGTAGCTTAGTGAATTTATGAATTTTTAGGTAGGAGTCTAAAATCTTTCATTACCTAAATAGGGATCTAAATATTTATGAGAATCTCAAATCTTTCGTTTTTACTTATAAAGCAAGTAGAAATGCGTGTAGTCTAATTTTTTATTTAAAGATACAAAAAGGCTAAAGACGTATCTTTAATAAATCATATTTTAAATAATACTTACGTAACCCAAGTTGGCGAGTGATATGCCACATAAGGCAAGAAGAAGGAAACACTAAAATGAAAGAACATGAACTTTTAGAATGCTTGAATTTTCATTGAATTCATAACAGCAATTGAATTTATAACACCAATAACAAGGGTAAGAAGTTTGACTCAATTAATTTTTTAGGCAGTTTTATGGCAAATATATATATCTTACTATTTAAGCTTTATGAATGTATTTAGTCTCAAGAAATTTCAGAAGTCGAAGAATGTCTTGTTATATGTGAAGAAAAATTTAGTCATTATTCAAAGACTAAATTATGATGAAAACATTATTAGTCATTAAACTATCATTAGGCATAAGTCTAAATTTAGTCACAAAGACTATCATTAGTCATTAGTCTAAATCTAGTCATAAAGACTATCATTAGTCATTAGTCCAAATTTAGTCACAAAGACTATCATTAGTCATTAATCTAAATTTAGTCACAAAGATTATCATTAGTCATTAGTCTAAATTAAGTCATTTACCGAAAGAATGTGAAGAGAAACACGATAAAAACATCCTGCAATATGCAAAACATTAGAAAACCTTAAATTTATAATCTTTTCATGACACAATTAAAAAGAATTTAAAATAATGAGTAATTTTAACGAATTGAACTTATTATTATTATTTTTTTACCCCAGTTATGTGCTGACATTATTTCTAAGTTAATATCCATTATTTATAGCAGGGACTTCAAAAATGCCTGTATAAACATACAATTTAAAAGCTTTAAGTCGGAAATGGTCTAAAAAGTTGATTTTAGAAAAAAGTTTCGATTATCTCTAAGAGGGCGAATCAATCATTTTCCCTATCCATCATGTGAAAGTCATTAAGGAACTTAATGCGAAGTTTTATGCGGTATAAAACTCTTACCTGAGAGATCATGATTTATTTTTGCTCTGCTACTGTTGTATATTTAGTGGAAAATGTTCCTTTTATTCGAAAACGGAAAAGAAATTATTCAAAACATTTGGATTAATTTTCATGCACCATTAATTTATTATTTTATTTTTGGAAAATGCCTGAAGCCGTTTTAAGATTCAATATTCAGCAAGTTTTAAGTCAAGGTTAGAAAAGAAGAATTTCACTTTCACAACAATAATGCCGATAATAAGATTATAAACGAAGAAAAACATTTTTTATTAGAACAAAGGTGTTCATAACATGTAAACAAACAATAAAAGTTTCTTTGCTATTTTCGTAACATAATTTTATTTACCAATCTTTTTACTTTGAGTAAATTCATATATATATATATATATATTTTATTTTTTTAAAATTTTTTTTATTTTTTATTTTTTTTATGTGACACCATGAGCACTGGTATTTTTTTTTATCTGTTTGCAGCAATATAGTTATTTAGTTATTATTCATTTCTTCGTTTTTAAGTGAATAATATGAAAAGATAACAGGTGAAAGGAAAGATACTGTTATAGAGGATATCCGCAACAATGCCAGTGTCATTTTTAATAAATCTTGTTTAATTGTACAAAATGAAATACAGTGTACTCCCGATTATCCGGGTTAATCACCGGAACAGGTCGCACGGACAATCAGAAAACACGGATAATCCGAAAACTCCTTTTATTAAAGAAAAATTCAATATCAGTACAAAAAATATAAAAATTACTGATGTTTGCATGCATAACATCAAACTAGGAATTTTCCTTTTTGAAAAATGTGTAATGCGTCTTCGCCATATATCGATACACATATTTTACGAACTGCAGTAATCAAATCCTCCCATATAATCTGNTTTTTTTTTATGTGACACCATGAGCACTGGTATTTTTTTAAATCTGTTTGCAACAATATAGTTATTTAGTTATTATTCATTTCTTCGTTTTAAGTGATTAATAAGAAAACATAACAGGGGAAAGAAAGATACTTTTATAGAGGATATGCCAGTGTCATTTTTAATAAATCTTGTTTAATTGTACAAAATGAAATATGCGAAAAACCTCTAATCATACTTTCTGAAAACCCTCTTAAAAAGTATGAAAATTGGTTGAAACTTTTTAAATTTTTAAGATACTTAAATCGGAAATTTTTTTATTAATTGCCATATACACTGCAAAATTAAGATGAAAAGAATTAAATTTTTCCCTCGCATGTGCATTATAAAAGAACTAATTTAATTACTCATATCTTGCGCAGTTTTAAAATTTTTTTTATCATATTTTGAGGCAAAAATTTTATAATTATATTAAGGAAATGGGTACATGGGTTACTAATTCCGTGTCTGCTGTTACTTACTCTACACATGCACATGCTTATCTGTGTTCCTTTTACAAAGAGAGGTTGATAAGTCATTCTAAAGTTAACGAACAGATCAATAAAATTAGAGAAAGACAACTCAAAGAAACATTGAAGATTACGTTGGGACTCGAACCCGCTATCCCATCCTATCCCGTCTAGTGTCAATCCAAATGTTTATGAAAAAATAGGTAACCAACTGCAACTCCTCAACCAGGCTTTAAAATAGTAAACTGGATTTTTTTTTACAGAAAAGTGGTACAGGAAACAATGTCTGAGGGGCCTCCCTCACCAAGTGGTATCGCCATCCAAACGGTGTGCAAAGTGTGGATCGTGCTCTGGTTCAGGTCAGAATTACGACCCATGGATTAATACAGTGTTTCCCAAACTTATGAGTCCCGAAGTAAACTGATCATTAAGACACGGTTCCCAGCAGATCACCGAAGTCAAGCTTCACTAGCTACGGTCAGTGTGCCGGTGGGTGACCACTTGGATCAGTCTGCGTAGGGACCAAGGGTGTGCGGTATTGGTCCTCGTTAAACTGTGCTACCGTAAAGTGCTCGACTTCGCACGCAGGTCGTCGGGCTAACGAAGCGGGGGTGCCATCCCCTCCGCAGAGGATCAAAATTGTGATGGCATGTCTTCGGATCATCCTCCGGGATGTTTCCCAGATCGTCGCCAATAGCTAATTGTGCAGCTCTAGTGCGACGTAAATTAACAACAACAACCCAAACTTATGACTTTTGCATACCCTTTCTAAATTTTTCGTAAAGTTGTGCACCACCAATAAAAAATTTATGTATTTTTTACTACAAAAAATTACTTAAAAGTTAAAAATCACAAATGGCTGTTGACACCACTAATTAGTAAGTGATAACTCTGCAAAAAATCGCCAATAGAAAAATACGTAATCGTAAATTTTCATGGCGGTCCGCAGTGTGTTATTCGTGGAGCGCGAGCTGGCGCGGGTTAGAATCCCAGATGTGCTCAATTTTTGTACTTGCTTCGGCAGTACATATACTAAAATTGGAACGATACAGAGAAGATTAGCATGGCCCTGCGCTAGGATGACGCGCAAAACCGTGAAGCGTTCCACATTTTTTTTTGCCGACCAGGTGATAGAGTGGTTAGCGCGCCTGACTGCGGAGCCGATGGTTGGGGGTTCGAATCCCACTCAGGGCATGGATGTTTCTTTCTCTCTCTGTGTTCTATGCCCTTTCTACCGTGTGATTGTGTGAATGTAGCCTTCCCTATAAACGGGTTTGTGGTTGTATGACGTGGGTGACGCTACTCCACTGCCGTGGCTTAGCCATAGGTGCTCACTTTGTAACGAGTAGAAATTCTGTCATTTTTGAGGTTAATGGGAAATAGACCCAAGTGCTCGCCATTAACCAAAAAAAAATATTTTATGGCTAGCTTTGTTTTTAAATATAAACTTTTGAAATGTTCGTGTTTTTCAAGATATTTCGCATAAGAACCCGTACCCCCTCTTAATTGTTCCAGTATCCCTGGGGGTACGCGTACCACACTTTGGGAAACAATGGATTAATGGATGGAAGGTATATGAATGTCTCTTGTCTGTGAAACGGAATGTGACGTATGTATGTCTCCGGATATCCTCAGGAATGCTTCCCACACCGTTGATAATAACCAATTGTGCAGCTTCTAGTGTGACATAAATAAAAGTACTAAAGTACCAAAAGCAAAGCGTGGAGGAAGCGGGTTCGAATCCCGCTGTTATCCTGGATGTATCTTTGTGCTGTCTTTCTCTATAATGTACTATCCGGCCTTCTACTTGACAAAAGTTTATAAGCCTTAATTGAGAGCACATGCCTGCAAATGTGTACTGTATCAGTCCCGCAGTGGACTGATCGCTAAGACACGGTTCCCATCAGATCACCGATGTCAAGCATCACTGGCTGCGGTCAGTGTGCGGGTGGGTGACCACTTGGATCCGTCTGCGTAGGGACCGAGGGTGTGCGGTATTGGTCCTCGTTAAACTGTTCTACCGTAAAGTGCTCGACTTCGCGTGCAGGTCGTCGGGCTACCGAAGCGGGGGTGCCATCCCCTCCGCAGAGGATCAAAATTGTGATGGCATGTCTTCGGATCATCCTCAGGGATGTTTCCCAGACCGTCGCCAATAGCCCATTGTGCAGCTCTAGTGTGACGTAAATGAACAACAACAACGTACACTGTATCAATAAAAAAACGAAGTCTGGATTCCCTGGCCGAGCGGTATCGCCCGCCAAACGCTGTGCAAAGCGTGGAAGTAGCGGGTTCGAATCCCGCTGTTACCCTGGATGTATCTTCGTGCTGTCTTCTCTGTATTGTGCTATCTGTTCTTCTATTTGATAAAGGTTTATAAGCCTAAAATTGAGCACACAAGCCTGCAAATGTATGTAATTCCAATAAACCAAGCCAAACAAAGTCTGACTGATGTAGCAATTATTATTGTTTTAGTGCAAACGTACATCCAAATAACTTTTTTTTAAAAAGCGTTTAGATCCATCTATGAAGAGATACGTATATTAGTTACTGTTTCATTTGGTAAGTACAATTTATTTTTCTTCATTGTTTGCTTAATCTTCAATATATGTACACAGGATAGATTTTAGCTACAGCAATATGGTTTCAATTCGTAAATCCAAATATATTTTAATACGTAGGGGTAAAATTAAACATAGGTTTTAAAATTTGATTATCATAAATCTCCAAATCGTAAGAAATAAAACGTTACTATTACGTATGTAACAAGGTGCAATATTACTATCGTAATTTCATTATTGGGTTAAAATATTTCAGTTTCATTGTTTGAAAACATGAATTGAGCATCTTTTTTAATTAAGGTTAATGATGAAAATGTTTTTCCAGAATTTAAGAGCTTAGATCGAAGGCAAGAAGGCGTTTCTACGTAACATTTTAGTAACTTATGTACAATACGAAAAAAACGAATGAATAAAAAAAAGAACCATCCTGAATAATTTTTGATCTAATGATCGGATATTCACATTCTAGAACTCAATCGTAATGGTCCGAGAGGTGTGAACATCCTTGTTGAAAGCTGTTTTATCCCCGTGATTGCTTAGCAACGAACTTGTCAGGAAACAAATTTTCCTTCAACAATTTTCTGTAGTGTTCCATTGATAGCATGTAACCATAAAGTGATTTTAAAACTTCTGAAACAGCGACTTGACACAACAATCGATAAATCGATGGCGATGGAGACATTACCAATGGCAATAGGGACAATGACCATTTTAACCAGTACATCGGATTTATCAAACGTTCTGAAGTGTGAAGGTAACAGATTCGAATCGCACCGTAACCCAGGATGCATCTTTGTAATGTAATTTATTAGTTTGTGCTTGCTGCTCTTCATCTAGACTAGGTAATTTTTGTAATAGGCCTAAGCCAGTTCTGTAATAAGCGCACATGCCTTCATATGCATATGTAAATAAATTCAGTGGCGCGACAGCCCATAGTGGGTCAAGGCCTACTGTGCCCATCTCAGTTTTCTTGACCTTGGGCTCTGGGGTGCAAGAGCAGATGTTCCGGTCAGGTGGTCAGCCGAACGCGGGACCCCAGTCTTTAGTTCCCAAGCATGCTTGGTACTCATTTATAGACCCACTGAAGGGATGAAGGGCTGAGCCAACCTTACCCTGCCCGAGGATCGAACCTAGAACCTGTAGCACGGGAGCGTCATATGCCTGTGTAACAATAAATAATCAACGGCGATCTATTATTTAACCCATGGTTAGGTATAATGTAGGTTAATTGAAAAATCCAGTTTATTTATTGCAAATGTCTGTGGAACTAGCAAATTGGAAAATTTTTCAATTTTCCTAATGCGTCTAATATCGTATTTTTAAGTTTATCACAATTCAGACGAGACGCCTTTAGGCCAATCGATAAGACTGAGTTGGATCAAACTTATTGCAAAGAAAACTTAATAAGGTCATTTACAATAAATCTTCACTACATTCTGTTTATTGCCTAAAATAAGGTCAGTGGTGGCTAGTTGATAAGAGTTCTAATACCGACTCAAACTGACCTCATTGCTGACGAAAAATATCCTCAGTAGTAAATAAATCATGAGTTAAAATCCTTTTGTTGTTGGGTTAACCGTAGAAGGTTTTCGCTTGATTAAAAGATTCCTTTGTTTTCTACATTGGACTCAAGCTACGGAATTGAACATTGATAATTGTAAACTCAGAATTGAGACGTTTGTTCAAAATCGGTAATAAAATATAAAATAAATTAAAATTTATTTCAGTGGTTCAGGGGATAGAGTGTCTGCTTTTGAATGAGGTGAGGCAGGTTCGAATTTAGGTCTGGAAGATCAACATGAATTTTACAGCCGGCTCGAGTCGGTGCTGATTGAAAACATCCACAGAAGTAAACAGATCGTGGGTCACCATGCTAACAATGGGAGGATTTCCTTTCCAAATAATGAACATGCATATTATTTTTCCAGAAATCCTTGTTTGTCACAGTGCTTAATTCAGTTTTTTTTTCCGGTTGAGTTAAAAATTACGAAGCTATGGAGTTGGATATTGATAATTGTAAACCCAAAAGTTGGTCGGTTGTATAATACATAGTCTGCTACACAATAATAAAATACAATATAACTTATTCCAACAAAGAGCCGGCTGATTCAACGACACATACATAAAATAAATTTTACGAAAGTAATTAACGAATTGACTAAATGTTTAAGTCTCTCTCAAAGCCTAATTTTTAATCTTTTTTTTTCAGAGGCTCATTTTAACAATTGAACTGTGGAATCTTTTAGAAGTGTTTTTAGATATGGAAAGTTCAGAACACAGTGAATCGAGTAAGAATCCGTCTAAAATCACACCAAATGAATCTGACGTTACTTTTACTGCTCAAAGCTTAAAAAACTTGAGCTTAAATACAAATAGACATTGTTTACAATGCGCGAGGAAGTTCGATGATGACACTAGTTATACTTCACATTATAAGACCGATGAACATGCCACCATGGTTCTAGTCACTGGCATTGATTATTTCGAAGCAGATCCTCAAGGTCCAAGTCGATTCCCACTCCTATTCTACTGTGTATTATGCAATGTTTACAGTCTTGATTATAAGTCTTATGAGGGCCATTTAAAAGGTATGATTCATAAAGAAATGGCGCAATTCATGAGATGTATTTCTTTTTGGAAAGAAAAAATCCTAGTGGGAATGAAGTGCAAAAACAAAGAGCCTTCTACCGCTCAGGATTTCGAAGACTTAAAAAAACCCTCACATAACTACTGCCAGTTGTGCGATAAGCAATGCAATAGTGTCAAGACTCTTGAAAATCACTCAAAAGGTCAAATACATAAGAAACTCGAGTTGATGGTGAAGAGTTGTGAGTTTTGTAACCTTTCTTTCGTGAGTTTTAACTATTACGAACGCCATTTGAAATCCGATCTTCATACGAGAATAAAGGATTTCATGATGAAAATGTTGATACCGCAAAAAGAGATGACGGAAACAGCGAAAAAGAGTGATGCTTCCCAGTACAAGGGAGCGAATAAGTTGCCTCAACTCTACTTCTGTAAATTGTGTTGGATTGAATTTAATGACGTAGAATCTTTTAGAAATCATAAAAAGATCTCCATTCACAGAAGGATTCGTAGTTTGATAAACAAAATCTCAATTAAGCAAGATAATGCCGCTAAGCACAATGAAGAAACCGGTAATCAAATAGTTCCTCGTACACATTATTGTGAAGTGTGCAATGTTTGGTGTTTAAGTTCCTATCAAACGTATGATGATCATACAAAGACTGCTAGACACCAGTATATCCAGAGCAATGAAGCTGTTAAAAAATGGGACTGTTCGCCAGAGTACCATCCACCAGGTTTTAAACCATGGAGATAAGACAGTTAGTCACCTGTAATGTTCATCAACTAAATTCCACCTGAATGAAACTGTTGCTAAATCAACATCTCGTAACTGTTAAAGAATAGGTATGGCGCAATTATTAAAAACTTTTAAAGAACTTTTTAAGAATGTATATCACAATCGTTAAAAAATCTGTATATTTCAACTGTTGAAAATCCATCACATCGTAAGTGTTAAAGAATCCATATATCGTAACTGTCAAGGAATCAGTGTATAGTAACTACTAAAGAATGAATATATCGTAATGGTTAAAAAGTCAATATATTTTAATGGTTAAAGATTCATTATAGGATAACTGTTACAGAGAATAAGTATATCATAACTGTGAAAGAATCAGTGTATCTTGCTGTTAAAGAATTAATACTTCGGAAATGATTTGTTAATCCTGAAAATTTATTAACTGAACAGCACCATCGAATTAATTGTTGCGAATTCTGCAAATTCTGTTACTTTGATTGAAACTCCAAGGTCTGAAGATCACGGTTCCTTTTTTCTCCCATTATCAACTGGATTCAGTATTATGTCAAAGTGTAAGACAATTTACTTAACCCTCTTCTACCTCAGATTTAGCATTCTCTTAAGTAAAATTCAGAAATATTTGATCAAATGAATTAGTGGATCAAATGCATTATGATTTCACAATAATGGAAATCTGGCACATGAGAAAATTATACTTTGGCAATAATATTCTTTAATATGATAGAACTGTATATATATATGGTTTTTTAGCTGTATAAACTACATATTTTAGTGGGAAAGATTATGCGTCAACAATCGACTTCTGTAATATGACGGAAACATAACTAAGTTTTCTATTTTCTTAAACTTTAAAAATTAGGATAATTTTGATTATGTTTGCATATGCAGAATAGAGAATTCAATTGTAAACGCATAGTCTAATAAGACGCATAGCTATATTGAACTAAAAATCAAATTGCTTAATATGGCGGAATACTTTTAATTTCTTAAATTTAAAAAAAAATGTTAATAAGGACTATGCTTTTACACGCAAATTCTGAAATATGACTGAAATTTAAATATTTTTTACTCCGTGAAATTTTAAAACTTAGTGAAAAGGACAATAAAAAAATTTTGAAGTATGACAAAAATGTTAAAAAATGTCGCATTTCCTTAATTTTAAAGTGTAAGAGGGGCTATGCCTGATTTGTATAAAAAAGTGGTCAGTGCCGAATCGTTTAGGAGACGATTTTTGTCTTCTACGATAAATCCCGAACAGAAGTTTTAAAAGAAACTATTTTTAATAAAATGTTTTTATTGTAAATTAATTTTTGAATTTACGTTTGCTAAATAAAATTTGTTTTTGAACCGAATCTTCATTTTTTTTCGAATAATTTATTTTGCTTAGTTAAAACTCTGTGCAAAATACTTTTAATTACAGCTTTCGAACAATAGGCTTTAAAATGGTAAGCAGTTTTGTTATGTTTTTGATAGCGAGTGCATGCTAACTGAAATGTACTACAAAATGTAATTTCCAATGAAATAGAAACCTAATTTTCAAAATAATAAGGTCTTAGTTGTCATAAAACATACTTAATCTCGGGGCAATATTATAAGACATAAATTTAAATCATTAATGGCAGTGGTTTTGGTTAAACCAAATCTACGACTTCTTAGTAGATGATTAGATATTTCTGGCCATTGTGTTTTGAGTTGAGTTTTGTGAGTTTTGATAAATTTTGAAATACAAAGCTTTGCTCTAAACTTAGGTATATTTTAATGCAAATATGTTACCATTTCTTAAAACGTGACATATCTCAAGCTCTTTTTATGACCGAATTTAAAGGGTTAAATATGTTTATAAATTTAACTTTTAAAGAGGAAACAGCACAAAAATACTTTCAAATTGTAAAACAAAAGACATATTACAGACAATTATAGACAAAACAACTATAGAATAACAACAAACAATAGACTAAGGACAATTATAGACATGTTATTAACAAAATAAATACTAAATTTTTACCAATCTTTCGAAATGTTTGAAATTTGTTGAATATTTGCGATCGAGCCCTTTGATACAAAGCCTTAAATGAAATTTTTGAAATAGTCCTTAATTTGAATTTCAAAGAATTCGGATAAGTAGCTTTTCTTATTTACAGTTAATTTAAAAAAAAATTAAATTGACAACTTTTGAAATATAATTTTTTTGCTTAAAATTTGCATCAGAAAGGAACTTTTTTTAATAAATAAATTATATCATTAAGTCGAATTTTCCTTGTTTTGTTTCATGGAACTCCCAGTTCGTGCAGAAACGACTCAATTTATGACAAAATGAAAGTGTGATTTAAGTTTATTTAGTCTGTAGATTCTACTTTGAATAGTTTTAAAAGTTCTTTTTAAACCCTATATTATCGTGCAATAGAAAAATCAACGTAGGTGGCAAAAAATTCAAAAGTGAAGTTTTCATATATTTGGCATTTTTGTACAATTAGCAACTTATTGCAATTTTTTTTAAAAATTAAATTTTGCTTAATAAGCTTTTTTTAAAAATTATATTTTAGCGTTCATAGCATAAGCAATACAAATAAAATAGTTATCAAGCCACTAAGGATATGTTTTTTCAGTTGCAAGGCAGTATAATGAGCATATATGGCAGTACTTTTACTTTCGTTACTTGTACCGCCGGTACAAGTAAAAAGTACGTACTTTTACTTGTACTTCGTTACTTTTTAAATTTAGTACTTTTACTTGTACTTTCGTTACTTTTTTAGGGAAAAANAAATTTTAGGTTACTTTGAATTTTCGATTTCCTAGAAATGTACTTTTAAATCATTACTTTTTTTGTTTAGTACCTATACTTTTACTTGTACTTTTTACTTGTTACTTTTTAAAATAAGAACTTTTTACTTTTTACTCGTTACTTTTTTTAAAAATACTTGTACTTTTACTCGTTACTTTTTAAAAGTAACGTTGCCATATATGATAATGAGCTACTGGAAGTACTAAAAGCAATTTCCTGACTTAAGCTTGGATGAGATTTTAATTCAGAACGTGGAACTGCATTTCGAAGAAAAATAAAGAACTTTGAAATTAATTATTAAAACTTGTTTATTTATTTCAACCATAAATTATAAATATTATTTTAACCATTATTATTTTATCGAAAGATTAAGTTATTATTGAAGTTTAAAGTAGTATCTAATAAAAAAAAACAAGAGAATAAATGTAACCATTAATATGTTAATCAGATATATTAAAAAGTCTTTATCAAATGAATAAAAGATGAAATTGCGATTCTCGTAGAAATGGACCGAAAATGCGTGTATGTGTGGCAATTTAGTACGTTACCGTTCGAGAAATTGTATGTGTAGAGAGTAGATAATTGAGTAGTATATAATGTAAACTGAAATTTCTAAATGCGTTTTTCATGAAATTGGTTAGCCAGTACGCTTTATTATTTTAAAGGTTAAACTCTTGTAAGGTGTTCCACAAATACAAGCTTCACCTCAATATAAATTTTTCAAATCGTAACCTTATCTTACAATCACATAGGGAATATAAAACAGTGATAATCGCAGAAATTAGATGTTTCTTTTTAAAATTTAATCATTAACTTTAATATAAAAATCACAACGAAATTATTAGGAAATACTGGGGCCTTTAAATCAAATATGCACTTAATGTAATGCAATGTAATAAAAAAACTTAACATTGGATACCTTTATCTCTTTGTACTTCATGGAAAAGTAATTAAAAGTGGAAAATAAGATCTCTGAGTACTCTGTTTCTAATTTAATCTGAATTTTTTTCAGATTTGCCTATGTTGTACTTTGATGAGAATGTAAATCGGGAAATTTGTAGTTAATTTGAATTAATTCTTTTTTAAGAACTATCATTAATGAAAATAACTGCTGCCGTGCAATCGAAAAAAGAAACTATTTCCTTTTCTTTGCTACAAAGCTATCAACTCTAAGATATAATTTAAAAACAAAACTTTAAAAAAAGCCACTTCGCCATTTTGTACAAAAAGGCGAAGAGAGTAAAAATCTACATTTTAAATGCTTAGTATTTTACGTTGGTCTTTCTATTGACCCCCTTTTCTTCTATTAAACTCTGTGTAATAACTATGACGCAAAATTAATAAATAGCACTTCTAATACATAATGATTTTATTATCACAAAAAATTTACAAACATGTGAAATTTATCAACATTTATATTTATCATTCTTAAAGGAAACAAAAATATTTAGTGGGAGTACTTTTATGTGAGACTGACATTAGAACTGCTGAAAACAATGAAATCTGAGATATAGAAACAAATTCGAACTGTTTGTATATCTTAGTTTGTAAGTTTCATTTTTCGGATCTTGATTTTAATAAGAAGCTATTTAAGTGGAAAAAAAAGAGTGGTGGGGAGTACTAATATCCGTATCTGGCATATCCCAAGCCGCCTAAGATTCCTAATCCCAATCCTCCATAGCCGCCGTATGCACCACCATATCCTCCATAAGCACCTCCGTATCCACCATAAGCTCCACCATATCCAAGATTTCCGTATCCTGCACCAACGCCTCCATATCCGTATCCAAGACCGTATCCTGCAGTTGCTGCTGGTACACCCAGGTTTCCCTCACCACCAACATATGGAGCATCGGAGACGAGGAGTACCGCTGCAGGGTTCTGGTTGGCGGTGCCTGGTTCGTTGGTCTGGACCTTAGCTCTGAATCCGGCTTTGTCAGCGACGTAGTTCACTTGTCTTTTGATTCCTCGGGCATCGGTGAATCCGTAGCTACCGACAACGTGTTGTCCTCCAGTACCGGATTCTTCTCTGTGTTGTTCTCCGTGTTTGTCTTTGATGCTGTATCCGAATTTGTAGGGTTTTGGGGCATAATGTTCATAAACTGGGTACTTGTCATCAACCATCTGTAAAAAGATTTAAAATATAACATACATAGTATGACATATTTTTGTATAGTATTTAATTTTTATGAGGTGACATACTGCTCGTAAATTGTATATTAATCAACAATAAATCAGAAATAAAAATTCAAGGGTTAATTTATTATGGATTAACTAAGTAAGTGGTATACATTTGTTCAAATAGAATAATGCAAAGATATGATGAATGTTAAAGGGTTATTGTCATAGACTGTTGTTTTAACAGGATGCTTAATATCGCCAAAATGGGAATAATAAAAATTGAATTTTCAGGAGTGGAAATGATCAAAGGACTTGAAATGATTATCGAATGCCTAATTTAATTACACTATAAAATTAACGAGTTGTTCATAAATTCCAATAATTATAATTTTAACTGCTTCAGCCGAGAGTTGATCATCATCTAATTATGATGTTCACTACTGTTATCCTGCACCCAGAGTAAGAAGGATTGTGCAAATTACACACAAAGTGACTTGGAGTTTTCATTAGTTATTTGTTAAAATCTGCGTGCGTTAATACAAAACGTAATTTCAAATGCAAAGAAAATTTTTAATGGCGTTTCTCCTTACTTTAATGTCCTTTCCTAGTTTTATGAAACTGTACTATGAAATTTTTAAAAATGGGGGAAATTGAACATATTAAATGCAGAAAAAGAACATTCAATTTATTTCTCATCTTGTCGGAATTTGATCCGTGAAATCTTGGCTTAAAAAATTGGGAATAAATGTTATAATTTTTTGATTGTTCTTTTTTTTTTCTCTTAGATTTGCTTAAAAGTGAAAAATTATGTTGTATTTATTTTTTCGAATTCGTTAGATCATCTTACAAAATGTTTATAAATAATCAAGAACAAGGTCGAAAATTATTTTCGTATGAACACTAAAATTCGTATAAATGAACGTATTCGTATAGTCTATATAGTCTTAATAATCATCAGAAATCAAAATAAAACTGCATGCTTAAAAGAATTTCCGTTTTTTTTGTCATTTTCTTACAGTTTNGTACGCCCAGGTATCCTTCACCACCAACATATGGAGCATCGGAGGCGATGAGTACTGCGGCTGGGTTCTGGTTGGCGGTGCCTGGTTCGTTGGTCTGGACCTTGGCTCTGAATCCGGCTTTGTCAGCGACGTAGTTCACTTGTCTTTTGATTCCTCGGGCATCAGTGAATCCGTAGCTACCGACAACGTGTTGTCCTCCTGTACCGGATTCTTCTCTGTGTTGTTCTCCGTGTTTGTCTTTGATGCTGTATCCGAATTTGTAGGGTTTGGGTGCATGATGTTCATAAACTGGGTACTTGTCATCAACCATCTGTAAAAAGATTTAAAATGTAACATACATAGTATTACATATTTTTGCATAGTATTTTATTTTTATGCGGTGACATACTTCTCGTAAATTGTATATTAATCATCAATAAATAAGAAATAAAAATTTAAAGGTTAATTTTTTATGGATTAACTAAGTAAGTGGTATACATTTGTTTAAATAGAATAGTGTAAAGATATGATGAATGTTAAAGGGTTATTGTCATAGACTGTTGTTTTAACTGGATGCTTAATATCGCCAAAATGGAAATAATAAAAATAGAATTTTCAGGAATGGAAATGATTATCGAATACCTAATTTAATTACACTATAAAATTAACGAGTTATTCATAAATTCCAATAATTATAATTTTAACTGTTTTAGCGAGAGTTGATCATCTTCTAATTATGATGTTCACTACTGTTATCCTGTACCCAGAGTAAGAAGGATTGTGCAAATTACACACAAAGTGACTCTGATTTTTCATTAGTTATTTGTTAAAATCTGCGTGCGTTAATTCAAACCGTAATTTCAAATCCAATGAAAATTTTTAATGGCGTTTCTCCTTACTTTAATGCCTTAACCTAGTTTTACGAAACTGTACTATGAAATTTTTAAAAATGGGGGAAATTGAACATATTAAATGCAGAAAAAGAACATTCAATTTATTTCCCATCTTGTCGTAATTGATCTGTGAAATCTTGGCTTAAAAAATTGGGAATAAATGTCATAATTTTTTTATTGTTCTTTTTTTCTCCTCTTAGATTTGCTTAAAAGTTGAAAATTATTTTTTATTTATTTTTTTGAATTCGTTAGACCGTCTTACGAAATGTTTATAAATATTCAAGAACAAGGTTGAAAATTATTTTCGTATGAACACTAATATTCGTATAAATGAACGTATTCGTATAGTCTATGTAGTCTTAATAATCATCAGAAATCAAAATAAAATTGCATGCTTAAAAAAATTTTCCTTTTTTTCTGTCATTTTCTTTCAGTTTTTAATTTTTTTACATTTGTTATCATTTTAGAATATTTACCCTCATATGTACATCATTAATAGTTACGCAATGCTAAGAAAAAAAATCTAGAAATCACAAAAAAAATTCCATTACTAAGATTTTGAAGATTGAAAGATATTTTTATTTGTTCTTGAATATTATGTGATATATTTATGATACTTATTTAATTTGTTGCTATGTATTTGAAATGTTTTATATAAATGTATTATTAACTTTCATTTAGAAAAAATCTTTAAGTATATCGAATTCTTGTTCACCATTAGCAGTGAGGCTTAAATTTTATAACAGTGAATTTTTTTTCTCAACAGAAATTTTGATTAAAAATGTGAAACAATCATTTCATTTAAAATATCAATTGTTTAGGTATTAGTATAAATCATATTAAGACTTTACTATTAATAAGTATTATGTTGTAAGGCTGCTATATAACTAAGTGCGCATAATAAGTACTAACATTTTAATAAAAAAATAAAAAAAGGAGCATTATTTTTAATTGGAAGGAGATAAAATACTTACGTAACCCAAGTGGGCTAAGGACATGCCACAGAAAGCAAGAAAAAGAACACACTGTAAAGTAGGAAATAAATTAAGTTTAAAATAATGACAATCAATTTATCAAATTTGTAAATTAATCTCTTAATTTCGAAATTTGTCGAATCAAATTTGAATCGAATTTTCAAATTTGTCGAATGAGAATAAAATTTGTCAAATTAATGACACAAAAAATACTGTCAGAGAGCTTTGCTTTCTGGACTCAGCTCGAAATGCGTGTTTAAGAAAATGTACATTGCACAAAAGAGAAAAAAAAAAGAAAACGAAACACCCTGAATAACTTTTGATCTAATGATTGGATTTCCTCGCACTAGGACTCAGACTTCATGATTCGAGAGTTTGAACTCAAATATGCAAATTAGTTGAGGCAGACAGTATTTTAAATTGCGAAATCAGACATGAAAATGTACTTTCTCAGAATAAGCAAGGATTTGGATTCCTGATCCTCAAAATAGGTATTCAAATATCCAAAAATAATTCGGTACAAAAACTAATTTTTAATAATTATTTATAATTTCTATTGCTTTATTTAATTAATTGAAAAAAAAACTTCAGTAATTCTGTAGGTTATACGAATTTTTACATCATTTTAAAGAATGTAATTTTATGTGGCGAAACATAAAATTAGGACGAAATTAGTTAAACAGTTCCTAAAAAATCAAATTTTCAAAAGTCAGATAGATATTTAAAATTCTATTACTCAGAGACAATGTGACCAATTTCGTTCAAATTTTGTATATATTTTGTATTTTCGTTCAAAATTGCATATAAAATTACATTATTTCAAATGCTGCAAGAATTTATATGCCTTACAATCCAAAATGTTTCGACTATTTTTGATAAAAATAATGAATAATTAATCGAAATTATTTTTTGTGTGGAATTATCTTTACATAAACAAATGTCATAACTGTGTGCAAAAGTGTTCTTGTTCGTTAAAAAAATTTTCGGGATGCGGCGAAATACGCAAATAGTAAAATTAGCACTACACTCCTGAACAAACTAGCAGGACATATTTCCCAGATTGTGACTACCCCTTATATTTTGAGGGTCAGATATCATAAACTGACGAAAAGTAAATTTTTTTTATTCAAAACAAGTATGTTTTTGTGTCTTATTTCGTATTTTAAAATATCATCTGCTCTAATTAAGTAGTCTATTTGAGGTTACCCCTTGAACCATTAAGAATCGGTCCTGGTTCGAGAAAATTCGATCATTAGATCAAAAGTTATTCATTATGTTTTATTTTTATTCTTCTTGTTCTATTTATTTATTTAAGAAAAGAAATATAGCTTTTAATTAGCATAACCATTTATTTAGCATTCATCTTATTAAAAGAACAAACTAATGGTTCTAGATAAATTTATCACGTGATATCGTCCATTTGTCTAAATCATTTGATACATATTTTAAAATTAGTTGTTTTTTTTAACAAAAAAGTTTTAAAAGTCTACAGTTTCTATACATTTATATTAGTCGTACAATTATGGTGCAAGCAATTACAATCGTTTTTTTAACAGTTGAAAGAACCTCCAGTGTAGCTGGTGAAATACAGTTTTAAATATATTTAATGCTTAATATTCAATATCTAGATGGGTAGTCATAACTTAAGTTTTGATTACCTCTCCTTAGTTGATTTTTCTGGAGAAATCATCTGCACTAATTGATTATCTAATTGATAATTGATTACCATCTGCACTAATTGCACAGTTGATTTTTCTGGAGAAAAATCAACTGTGGTCATAATAAAGTTTACTTATAAAAACATATTTCTGTAAAATCTGGAGGAAAAGTATCAAAAATGGTTCGATTTGTGTCAATACAGGATATTGCGCAAGGTCTACTCTTAATGCACAGTGTTAGAATTTTTGTCTAAAATGTATCACTCTAAGGCGTCTTAAAGTGACCTTTGGTACAGGCTGGCAAAACACTGGCAAAATTTATATTAAATAACTACCGAAAGAAATAAAACCTATTTCATTCTTGTAGGAAAAAATGAAATTGAGAGAATCAGAAGCACCTGACTAAATAGGCTTTTATATATTTTTTTCATTTCACTTTCCTCACTAGTGCTTTGACAGATTTCGTACTTCGTATACTTATAGACAGATTTATATAGTATATTACAGATAAATTAAATTTAGATTGACTTTGTCAACCTTTACATCAAAACAAAGTGAACTTATTTGTAAGTTTTTATGTCGTGTTATAAATGAAATAAATTAAATTTAACTTAAATTGTCTAATAAATTAATTTAACTAAATAGAAAGCCTGATGAAAAAACTGAAAATATGTGCAAATGCTTTGAAATATGCTTTATTATCAAATATGCCCTTTTAGAATATAAACGTGGAGTACAAACAAAGCTTACCTGGGAGATCATGACTAAGTTGTTTTGTTGACTATTGTGCTGCTACTGGAATAAACCGATCTTTTTATACGTGAATAACAACGAAGAAAATATAGGAAGTATTTAGCTTTAAGTGTCACGCGTCATCAGTTATTGATTCAGTTTTTAACTTTCACAGTTCTTAAACGCCCCCGGCTCTTCTTATTTTGAAACAAAAGAATTTAACTCAAGGTTAGTGGGAAACAATTTCATTACCAAACAGAAGGATTAGCGTTCTTATTTGATAACAAATTAAAAGCTGATAATAGTCAATTTAAAAAATATTCAATTTCAGTGTTTAAAAATTTAGAGTAACTTCTGCTAAAAATTATCGCATCCTGTAATGCGGTATGAAATTGAACCATATTATCGGGTATCGTGAATTTAATTAAGTGATTCTTTGGTTCGATCAACTTGAACAAAAATAAAGCACAGTTTTACATTAATGAATTATATATTATATATTTTCCTTTAAACCATTTACCCTCGATCCTTTAATGTACAGTGCACCAAGAAAAAAAGGAACAACCTGAATAACTTTTGATATAATGATCGGATCTTAACGTTCTAGGTCTCAATCTTAATTACTCAAGGGGGTGACCTCAAATATGCTAATTAATTACTGCAAACAATTTTTTAAATTACGAAATCAGACCTCTAAACGACATCTCTCTAAATATACATACCTTATCTTCAACGGATTTGGATTTCTGATCCTCAAAAAGTATTAGGTAGTCGCGATCTGGAAAACATGATCCCTGTAGTTTAGTAAGGAGAGCGACGAAAAGTTTGAATCCCCTAATTATTAACATTATTTTTTTGCGTATTTCGCCATATTTCGAGAACTTTACAAGCAAACTGAAAAATATTTGCATGCAATTATAAAATTTATTTATCCAAAGATAATTCCATGCAAGAATTTTTTTTAAAAAATATTTATTATTTTATGTGATAATAGTAGAAAAAATATTAAATTGTCAGGTATCAAATTTTTTACGTAATTTTAAGGTATCTAATTTTAATGGCAAAATACAGAATTTAAGCAAAAATTGACTGAATAGTTCCTGAGAAATTGAGTTTTAAATATACGACTTTTTTTCGATACGTAACGTAAAATATCGTCGGCACTAAATAATTAGTATATTTGAAGTCGCCCTTTCGAGCCATGGAGTCCTAGAACGTGAAAATCCAATCATTAGACCGAAAGTTATTTAAGATGGTCAGTTTAGTTTTTAGTGCACTGTATTATCTTACTTCCTTTTTTAACTATTTATTGATTTAATTTTAATTTTATATTCTATCTTTATTTCGTAGTAAAAATTTTTTTTTCAGATTTTCGTCAAACTGTTTTATTTCATAAGGTCCATTGATTAACACTTAAATTATAAACAGTTGTATAAATATACAATGATTTGCTGTCATTATAATGGACTTCTCACTTTTAAAAAAAACATATGTAATATATTGCCTAATCATGCACAAAAGCTTATATTGTATAAACAAGAATTCTATTGTAAATTCCATGAGTAGATAATGTGAGAGTCAAGACTGTTGACATACTCCTCTGATATTTTTATAAATTTGATTTGGTTTTAATAAATGCCAAAAAGGGACTTCGCCCAGTCCTCTTGCTGGACAATGCCGGTGTGAACCTAAATCTCCTTTCCTCAGGTCGTCAGTCGCAGCAACAGTACTAATACACTAATTTAAAGGGGGATGGAAATACATATCCTTTACTTATATTAAGCATATAATGCCCAGTTTTTATATGCTTAAATGGTCTTTATATGATAAATATCTATTTGGAATTAGTGGTATTACATTTTTGATTATACCAAGATCTTCTCGCTTGTTACCTAGTTGTTTAGCTTTAAAAAACTGCTGTGCATTGACTTCAGAGCCAAACATTAATATTTAAAATTTCAGAATTTAATAGGAGACCAAAAGGGAGCTCTGAAAAATAAATTCTGAGATTGAAGTGCTTGTTCCAGCATTTTCTTTTTAATTTCTTTATTATTAGTTATTTATTTATTTATTTTTATTTATTTATTTATATTTATTTATTCATTTTTATTTATTTATTCATTTTATTTATTTATTTATTTATTAGAAAAATAATTTTTTGAAACAAAAAAAAAAAAACATAGGCACAAATGAGTTGAAGCAGAGGATTTGGAAGACATTACGTTCTAATGAGCGGATATAGAGATGCCCAGATAAAAGGCTTAACTAGATTAGTGCTCCATAACCATTCAATCAATTTCCGATTGCACTTATCATTTTGGCTGATTCATATTTCTATACCAATAGAAACATATTCTTATTGACTGCATTTATAACTGGTTGATCATTGATGAGTTTTCAGTAGGCAGGTTAGTGATGTGACGTCTACTTAGACATCTTTATTGAAGCTTTAGTAAAGCTAGATTTTTTAAGAGAGCAGTTTTAAAAACAAATACAATGCAGAAAAAAGAGATCGTGGTAAATTCTACTTAGAAACCGAATATAGACCGAAAAGAATATAGTCTCAATTATAAAATCAGTATAAAATGACTTAAACGTCTAAATCATGGAGCCTGGATTATTTTTGTCTTATCACGGCCATTTTATAACAGTGGCGTGCAAATAGTTATTGAAAAATAAATAATTATTATAATCATATCGGTCTTTATGAACTTGTTTCGTCTTCATCAACTTCTTTCCAATCATACATTACTTAATACAACAGAGTCGGGAAATTGTACTAAGCGACACTAAACAAAACGGTGCAATGAATAGATATTTTCTCCTGTGAACGTAATATAATAATTATTTTTTTCAAGATCAACTTAATCACAACTAAAATATCTGAAGATTTTTGGCAGAATACAAAATCTAAGGAAAATCAGAGGAATGACCCTCTTTTTAAGACTGATTTTGCAGAATATTAGAAAAGTTATTGTGAAGATTTTAAATCTTAATTTATTTCTGATTAGCTTTCTTAATTTTAAATCTGAAGATCGCTTCTTATTTTATTGCATTATCAAAAGTCATCAGATCAAATTAAGAAAAAAAAATATTCTTGATAATGTGCAGTGAATACTTTATGAAGCCACTTATTTCTTCGCATCTGGGTACATAATTTAGCCGAGATGAATAACCTGTAAACCTCATTACTAGCTGACCTTGGTTCAAAGCCCAACGTTGGCACCATAATATTTCCGTTATTCCTTCAACTCATGAATAGATTCCAATATGTTGCACTCTTCAATTGGTAATTCTGGTCTTTTTTTTCTTCTTTAATGGCGGGCACTTGTAACTATTGTCCTTTGACCACAGAAAGTGCCAGAACTGCTAACTCTCTTTTCGTTACCCAATGGGCACCTGTGGCTAAGCCACCGCGGTTGCAGCGTCGCCCACGTCACACTACCACAACCCATTTATAGGGCGGGTCACATTCACACACAAAGGAGAAAAGACCTAGAACACAGATAGAGAGAAAGAAACATCCATGCCTTGACCGGTATTCGAACCCAGAACCTTTCTAATGCAAGGGCAGTTCCCTGCCCCCTACACAGGCCGATCGGCGTAATTATGGTTTATTAAAACACGAATCTCTCATTCACGTATAGATGGCAGCACCATCTATACGTGACTTAGCACAAAAAGAAATCTCGTATTTCTCATCTCTCACCATGGCAGTTTCCTTTTAAGATTTTTTCAGAAAATTTAAAGAATACATTCGGGAAAAAAATTCCGAAAAGTTGTAAGATATTACTAAGAAACTACTTCTTCGCTAATTTGGTAGTCAAATATATCATAAGACTGTTGTATAAATTTGAGTAGAATTTTTATTATATGAAAGACTGATGCGTATTTTGTCACAAAACCGATGAAATTTCGTTTCTCGCGTCGACAATGAAAACTGCAGAAACTAACTAAGCTGAAATCAAAAGCTAAATGTGAATCATTCATATAAATAAACAAACTGTTCCCTATGTTTCTTTTAAATTTGTTTTATTTAGACGTTCAACATTATTTTAGCTTTAATGGTGCATAATACTTAACACAGAGAGATGCGCTTAGAATGATCAGAAATACGTTGCTCATTTTTACTCATTTTTCACAAACCTTTTTTTTTTACTCAGACAGTATACTACTGTTTTACCTATCACTCAACTTTTGTTTTTACTCTTTTTCCCATTTCATACCCCTTAATTACGACACCCTTTATTTTGGTTTTTAGACATTTTATAAGTTTACGTTAGAAGGACTTAAATCTATTGCATCCCTAATCACTGAAATTTATAGTTAGGTTTATAGGCAATGTTTGTGAGCTGTTCTTCCTAAGTGTACAATTCAGGTCACGTTGAGACCAAGTTCAAATTGGGTAGCAACACAAAATGAACTGCGAAAGCAGTTTCTGTAGTTGGCAAACACAGCAAGCATGTGTACCTAGTAATTATTGAATGTTTCGTGTAGCATTTCAATATTATTTTAGAAAAATGAACCCAGTAGAAGCATCACTACAGGCAGACATAATTTAAGTATTAAATTATTTAATGCGTATAACATTTTTACCATAATTAAATGATAAATTATTATATGGTCCCCAAAACTGCAAAAGCAGTTCCAGAATTGTAACAAATACCGGCATTTTATACATTGCCATCAATATACGCTTAAAAGCATTAAATATTGTACAGAACTTCCTCTTCGGTAGGCAGGGATGTGCAATTATGCCGATAATAAGTCTTTTCTGCTGGATGTTTTGTCCAAGGGCTGTCTTCTATGCTTGCTAGCCGAAAGGTGCTTGCAAATTCACTATCTTTTAACACCTCTACCAGTCTGTCAGGATGGTTTGTAATCATACCATCCACGCCTAATCTGAAATAAATGAATAAAAAAATGTTGGAAGGAAAATATTCTTAGCAAAAACTATACACATTTACAAAATCGAACTGAATCAAGCAATATATCTTTCGTGCTGATGTTTACGAAAATAATCATAGTTGTGTTTTCGAAATCCAACAGCTTTATGGAAAGGAGTTTAGAAAGTAGTGGAACTGTATCATATCATAACTCAAAATGTGATTGTACCCTTCAATAATGTGGTTACAAGTGGCTCTTCTCTCAGTTCCAATATTACTGGAAGCCATTCTACTTCTTAAGTTTTATTAATTTAATGACGTGTTAGCTTTATTTTTTATACTTAATTGTTTAACTGTTTTTACATTTTATTTAATAACTTCACTTATCATATTTTTTTTAGAGATTATAGCTTAATCACAACTTTTATAATCAAAGCACTATTAAACACGTATCACAATAGATTATATAACAGTGATAGAAGATAATTGGGAAAGTAATGTGCCAAAAAATTTATTTGTTTTCTTTTTTTGAGTCCCTTTGAAAAATGTAGTTTTTAAAGCTGTTCGTGTATAAAGTTTTTTCATTTTAGTTTTATATCTGTTGATTTTGGGGGGGGGGGTTGCTGAAATTTTGATGGATAACTTTTTTTTGCTACTTCGTAATGTTCTAGAATTAATGAAATGGTCTTGTTTAGTATTGTTACCTGCCAAAGAGCACCAGTTAAACTCTTTGCTAGTTAGCTCCTTGCAGCCATAGCAGTTAAAATTTCAACATGCAATAAAAGGGTCAAAAGCTCTACTCTTAGATACCGGGAATAGATTACAATTTCTATAACTACTCACTGAAAAGTCAGAGACTGTTGAACTAGACCGGTAGTGGTGAAGAGCGCTTTGTGCTACTATACGGAAAATAGTCAGGATTTCAACAGTCATAAAAATGGCAATTGAATGTTGTCAGGATTTCAACATCCATAAAAACTCTGTTTATAGAAGTCGGGGATAGAATACAATTTCCATTGCTACTCGCCAAAGACCGTTGAACTTCAAAAAATTACTCTAGTAGACAAGAGCCCCTTGCTGTTATACGGAAAATAGTGAAATGGTCATAAATTGATTACGTAGCGGCTAACTGTTAAGATTGAGTCTCAGTATGTGAAAACCCGATTATTAAATCAAAAGTAATTTAAGGTGTTTTTTTTCAATTTTTGCACAAAGCGATCTCAAATTTTTCACTCAGAGAAATCATGAAAATATTATTTTAAAATGACACCCTTTCGACAAGTTAATTTAATCTAGAAGATAAAAAAACCCACCTGAATCCCCCATTCTGTATATTTTTCATAAGCCGCATTTTGTTGGATGTTTGAGGGATTAACATTGATTTTCGAAGCTCTGTCGCCAAGGAAAATAAAAAAAACACAGTTTCAGTTCTTTACACTTGAAGTAAAACGATGAGTTTAAACTACATATACCGTCAAGTTGTGAAGAATTATTTGGGTCTTAGAATAACTAAATCTGGTGACATTTTCCCAGAAAAAAAATTATCAAAATCATTGCCTCATTGTCAGTTTTTTCAAATTTTTAGGAGCCCAGATGATGCAGAATTGCACTGTGGGCCAGAAGACCATGATCTTTGGTCAAATGTCGAAAGTTAAATTTTCAACTAAAATATGTGTAGTCAGTTTTAATACAGCCCAAATTAAGTATTCATAATCATTCCAAACATTATAATTTACTTTCTGGACTGACAAGAGTACAATGTAATGAAAAATTCGTTAAATTTTTTTTTTAAATGTAACTTTTCAATTTTTATTTCCGAAATATATATAGGAATTTCACCTTACTGTTACATTTTTATCAGAGTAATTAGTCTGAAATTATAGTACAATTTTTTAATTTGTTGGATTAGTTAATACTCTTGACAAACTTATGATTTATATCTTATCATTTGACATTTTACAATGTTTGAATGACTTTCGAAACTTAGTTCCCAACAGTTCCAAGAGATAATTAGCTAAATTGTTTTTTGTTCTCTTCTTTGATGTTTCTTCTTTCGAAAAAACCTGCCCCATTTTGCCCGTATTGCAAAGGGGGACTAAATATACCAAAAAAACAAAAATTATGTTTTTTTTCATGTTTTCGTGTAATTTTGTAATATTACTTCGGAAATATAATTTGCCTTTCATTTTTAATATAAAATTGCGAAAACTATTATATTTTCATTGCTACATTTAATTATTTAAACGTATCTACTATATTATTTTTTTAAATTTTGCTCGCCATATTTCAGCCGCCAGTTTTTTTTTGGGTATTTTTAGTGTATCTCAAAATTTTAACTATGAATTCAATTTACCTGCACATAAAAACCCGTAAATAAAAACCCCCAGAATTTGAAACAAGTTTTATCGAAATACTAATTTTGGCCACGAAACCTTGGCTGTTGACACACTGTGCATTGTAGTAATTTTTAAAATATTGAGAGTCTAGGGCACAAACGCTTTTAATTTCCTCAAAACTATGTCTTTTCTCCATATTTGCGTTATGTTTCATTTTCAGAATAAGTATAAATAGCGCTAGCTTTAAATAGGCTAAACTTTATATCCTAACAGTCATGAGTAATTGTTGAAATCTCATAGCAGTTATGAAAATGGCGCATTATGCACAAGAAAGCATCATTTCATATGTCGACGAAGCCTTCGAAAATCAACCTTCGATAAACTTAAGAAGCTGAAGCAGTAAGATACTACCTAATTAAAAACTTCTCGCATTCAAATTTATTCTCTGAAAAAATATACAAATAGGAAATAACAGTCGAAATGTTTCAAGCGCTTCAAAAATGTAGACTTAAAATTTAGAATTAAGGAACACTATAAATATGTCCGTTATCAAGAATGCGAAAAATCATCAGTTGCTGCACATTATTGGAATCTTAGGCATAAATTCAATTTTGACAAGGGCAAAATTATTTCCATGCCAATTGCATCAGCTCATCTTAAAGCTCAGGAATCTTGCTTTATCAATTTGAATGTTGATTTCCTTGTTAACGTCATTAATTCCTCACGACATCTCCATAGCGCTTGGAAATGCATTTTACCCTTTTAACCATTGTGGTCTGTCGAGCTCTGTTTTCGTTTTTTTTCTCTCCCGGCTAGTGATTTCTCTAGATTTGTCATCTTACTTTTATTTTTTCCCTTTTTTGGCAACTTTACTTTTTTTATTTATTTCAACTCATTTTTGTTTGTTCCCAGTCACGTATGGCAGATCTTGAAAATGGGAGCTTATTTTTTAAGCGCTTGAAGCATGTCGACTGTTATTTCTGATTTGTAAATTTTTGAAGCAAGCGAAATCTTTAGTCAGGTTGTTGTTTGTTGACGTATGCCTGCTTAGGCAGAGGGGGTGCGATTGTTCTTGTTTTTCAGTGGCGCCATCTATGGCCAAGAATTCGACTTCTGCCACACCATTCGTCACACTCGTTTATAGGACGGACCCATTCATACATCCATTCATTCATCCGCAGATTGTAATTTTGACCTGAATCAGAGAACGATCGATCTCCAATCCAGTACCCCCAGAGGTATTGATTTGTTATGAGGACTTTTGTGACTCGACAGATTTAACGTGCATCAGTCACTTTACTACACTTCTTCTTCTGCCGGCGGGGTTCGAACCCACGAACTCTCTGACATGGGCCCAGCGCCCTGCCAACCAGACTATCCCGGCCCTCTTTAGTCAGGTAATATGACCAATTGTTTATTTTATTTTTTTGTACAAATCTAAAAGAAAACTTTTTTTATACCTTAAAATTCTCTGCATTGTGCTACTTTTATCGACTGTCCACCAGTATACTTTTGACATGTAACTTTTTTCCTTGTAATCCCGTGAGTTGATGGCATCTATGAGTCTGTATGTGCCACGTGGGAGGCAATTGGTAATACCGTCTCCTTGCCAGAAGTTATTGCTACTTACATTGTTAGTCTGTAGGACGTATTCGATTGTTTTTAAATCTTCGTTGCCAGAAAATTCAAAACCTGCGTACAACAAGAGCTTTACTTTATTAGATAGCACTCGATAGCTTTTAGAGCTTATTGTAATTATCTGAGAGCTGTAAATCAATATAATATTTTCGATAGGCAATTTAAAACTGAACCTATTGTATCTATACAATACATAATTGTGTTTTGACATAATGAAGAAGTATTTTTTTTCTTTTTCAAAAATTTGGATTAGTTTTTTAGTTATCAGTCATTTTGTAAGGAAATCTATACTTTTTCGTCTTCAAAGAGCTATATTCAAAAAACTATTAAAAAATACATATACTTTTCTCCACTCTTATAAATGTATGAACCTTACAATTGAAATACTAATTTTCGACAACTTAAACCAATAATATATGAAGGAATTAATAATTTAATTCTAAGGTTCGCATTAGTTTACATTTATCAAAGTGGAGAAAAGTTTAACTTTTGTATTAAAAATGTAGCAACATATTCGATACGTAAATAGAACGCTTCGCTTTGATATATTTGTAGCTGTTCATAATTGTTATAATAAGTTTTTCTTCTTCTTTCCACGCTCTATTTTTTTTTCTTAAGCGAAGACGATAATTTTTGTAGCGATATAGAAATAGAAATTGATACCATAAAAAATTATATAGAAATAGAAATTGATACCATAAAAAATTAATTCGTTTTCGTGTTCTTTTCATGTATTTAGCATTTTAGTTTTTTTTTCTTAAGCGTTGTAGCTATATAATATATAAAATAGGAATTTAATTGTTTTTGAAGGAACGATCAAACTTACCTTGGATCTTTTTGGTTTTTCTATTCTTTATTTTAACAGTTTTTATTAAATGTAATTAGTTATTTTCAGAAAGTTTCAGTTTGCAGGTAAGCACTTAGATTTTAATATTGAAGTTTCATGATTTGCTTTCATAGCAATTGTTGTTCTAAATTATTCGTTGACTTCTTAAAAAACCCGATTACTGACATGGCAGAACCGCTTTCCAAAAAACTTTGTATTTTGTCAAAGAAAAAGACATTAAGAGATTCTCAAAGGAGAAGAAGGGCCCAAGAAACGTCTGTGGAACATCAAAGAAGGATGGAACATGACCGAATTTCGACAAGCAATTCTAGAGCCCAAGAAGTATCAGAGAAACGTCAAAGATTAGAAGAGGATCGTGTCTCAACTAGCAGTGTTAGGGCCCGAAAAACACCTGTGGAACGTCAAGGAAGATAAGAAGAGGATCGTGTCTCAACTAGCAGTGTTAGGGTCCGAGACACCCGCGAAACGTCAAAGAAGATTGGAAGAGGATCGTGTCTCTACTACCAGTGCTAGAGCCCAAGAAACATAGCGGGGCGGACAGCTAGCTGTCTTAGGCGGCTAGTATTAAATAAATAATAAATGTAAATAAGAAACTGAAGCAGTAAGGGGGGGATTAGAAATATGCAGACATGTTTTAAGCTCTCAAAATAGACACCCATTCTCAAAACTTGCTCGACGTAAAAGAAAAGAAGCAAAATTAAATTGAAATATTGAAAGAAAAATTTCCAAGCAAATATGAAAAATAAGTGTGAAAAACGAAACTTGAAAAACTGCAGTAGCAGAGACTTAAAAATAAGAAATGTCTGGCTAGTCTTGAGAACAGGCGCCTACTTTTAAGTGCTTAAATCATATCGACTTTTATTTCATTCCACTTATTTTAGAAGCCAATAAAGCTTTTTAATCAAGTAATATACCTTTGTTAGGTTTTTATATTGTTTAACATTATTATGTTTAAGTTGGTAATTGATTCTAATTTTTAACAGAAACTATACAAAAACAAATACAGGTATAGGACAAAATAATAGGAACACCTGTGAAAGAATGGAGTCGTTCTCGACAGTCCAATAAGCGGCGGGCACGTGTCGTAAGAATGTGCCACCTACTGGTGATGAAAGGCAAGGTATCTGTCTAGCATTTGGCAGTGTGAGATTTGCATGAGAAAAATCTGTTTCTAGCAAAACGAGATTATGTCCGACCTCTATGACCTTAAAAGAGGCATGATAATCGGAGCTCGCCTGGCTGGAGCGTCCGTGTCCAGAACAGCGAACCTTGTAGGTGTTTCAAGGACCACTGTATCAAGGACTCTGTTGGCATACACAAAGTTGGGTAAGGTGACTTCGGCGAGGCACAACAGCAGCAGGAAGTCGAAGTTGTCAGACCGTGATAGACGGGTGTTGAAGAGGATAGTCGCTCGAAAACGCAAGACTACACTGCCGGTGATAACATTTGAGATGAATACCCACCTCCTGAACCCTGTATCCATGAAAACTTTTCAACGGGAGTTGCATGCTGCTAACATTCATGGCAGAGTAGCTATTCCAAAACCGTTAGTTTCAGCGCGGAATGCTTTGAAGAGACTACAGTGGTGCCAAGACCACCTAAAATGGACACAACAGCAATGGGAACAAGTCATCCGGTCTGATGAATCCTCTTTTACACTATTCCAGCCACCGGACGTGTGTTCGTGTGGCGAACGCCGGCAGAAGCATTTCATGTTGACTGCCTGGTTCCAACCGTGAAACATAGAGGTGGTTCTGTGCTGGTGTGGGGCGCTATATCTGCCCGTGGATTGATGCCTCTCGTTGTCTTGAGAGGGGTGGTCAAAGGGGACCATTACCGAAGCATTCTTGCAGATCATCTTCACCCTATGCTTCATATTCTCTTTCCGGGAGAACGTCTTGTGTTCCAAGATGACAACGCCCCTGTTCACACGTCTCACTGTGTTCAAACATGGTTAAATGAGCATAATGATGAAGTGGACCATCTAACGTGGTGTCCTCAGTCCCCTGATCTCAATATCATTGAGCCTTTGTGGGGTTTTTTGGAGAAAAAAGTCCGTGCTCGGTTTCCTCTTCCACGCACACTCTCTGAACTCGAGACAGCTCTGCAAGAGGAATGGCTGCAAATTCCAATGAACTTTGTTCAAGACCTTTATTTGTCAATCCCACGTCGAATGCAAGCTGTCATTCAGGCCAAAGGTTGCCCAACTCCTTATTAATAAAATATTTTCTTTTTTTCACAGGTGTTCCTATTATTTTGTCCTATACCTGTATATTTTCTAAAACGGTCAAGGCAAAAAATTTAATAAAACTAAACTTATCAAAATTACTAAATATATATAAAAGCAGAAGAAATAAAAGTATTAATAAAATCAGATGAATCAGTTTTGGGGAATGTGGTGTTAAAAACATCAAAATGAACAAACTTAAAAGTGTTCTCTTTATTTAATAGTCGTACTTGAAGGAGTGTGTTACTACTCTAAGTTTACTTGGCTATCAATTTAATGTTGATCTTATTAATTCAACCTATTTCAGTACTGATTCTCCAGATTTTGATAAATTTTTAAATATTCCCTAGATATCAACTTAATTTCACTTTGGAACCCTTAATGGGTATAATATTTTATTGACTTTATTTTGTGTAAGGATCTTAAAACATAGGTTAAGAGGGATAATCCCAGAACCATCTGTATTTTAAAATGACAGTCATTTTGAGACGCTTTTATTCCGACTATTATAGATATGATGTGACAGTCATAGGAAAAAAAAATAATTTGAACAAAGATTTAAAGTTTAAAGAAGATGAAACTGAAACTATAAAACCACTTCAAAATCCATTTTTTCCCGTAATTTAACTTACAATATTATTCTTGATAATCTGGAATCATTCGCTAGAAACTAACCTTGATGAAATAGCAAGGGATCTTTTTTTAGCGTTAAATGAATAGTTTAATAAATAAATTTTAAAAGAAAATACGTTAAGATTTAACATACTACCAATTGTAATGAATGAAACTTCTCATATACTTATCGATAACAGCGCCATCTGTTGCCCCTTATTTAACGACTTAATAATGTTAGATACATTTTTTAATTACTTTCTATGGAAGCGTGATATCTTAATGAGGTATAGCCTAACTAGATTGGTGAAGCTGTTTAGCATGTTTGAAATATTCACTCAAAATGAAATACTAATAATAATTTTTAAAAAAAATACGCGTGTAAAGTTTTATGATTTTGAAGTCAGTCGGAAAGCTAGCAAATCAAAGAAAAATTTAAACTGATAAGTTCGGAAAATGTTTTTAACGGTTGAAGAAGAACATAATTAGAGCTTTTGATAATGAAAATATCTATAAGAAAAAGAAATTTTTATTTAATAATTGTCCTTAAAAATATTAATTTTAAGTTCGAATTTCGAACGTTAATGTATTTCTATAGACCATTATATGGTTCCATATGAATAGAAACACAGTAAAATTTTATAAAATTTTAACTGTAATGACAAGAAAACCCGTATTTTATTAAATGGTAATGTCGAGTAAATAATAAAGTAAATTTTGCTTTATAACATTTTCTCGACATTACAGTTTAACCTTGATTCGCACCGAAGGAAATTTTTTTTATGAACGCACATTTCCTGAATATATTGTTGCAATTTTTTTGCAGGTTATTTGGAAAGCGTGCAAAACATGTAGCTCATGGAAAATCGATGGACTAGTTTGTGGCATTAGGATTTAAACCCTACTTCTCCTGCACCTCTTTGATACTTTTTTAACATACTCTTATTTACTATATACCCTACGATTTTTTTATAAGACGTAGAGCCGAATGAAAATAAATTAATAAAAAAATAAATAAATAAATAATTAAAAAATAAAATAAAAAAAAAATAAAATAAAAAAAAAAATAAAAATAAAAAAAAAAATAAAAATAAAAATAAAATAAAAATAAAATAAAAAATAAATAAAAATAAAATAAAAAAATAAAATAAAAAAAATAAAATAAATAAAAATAAAATAAAATTAAAATAATAAAATAAAAATTAAAAAAAATAAAAATAAAATAAAATGAAAATTGAAAAAAGAAATTAAATTATAAGATAAAAATAATAATTAAAAAATAATGAAAAACAGAATACCCAGAATAGCCCTTGTTCCCTAATGATCGGATTATCACAGACTCAATCTTAATGGTTTGAGGGCTTAAAACTTAAATATGCTTATTACTCAGAACAGACTTTTTTTGTCAGCAAATCAGACACAAAATTATACTTTCTCTGAATAAACATGCATTTTTTGACGGATTCAGATTTCTGACCCTTAAAAAATGGGGGATGGGGGGCGCAATCTGAAAAATAGATTCCCAATAGTTAAGTCAGGAAAGCGATGGAAAATTTTAACCCTTCCTAATTTTTTTTACTTTTTGCTTAGTTCGCCATGCTTCGAAAACTTTTTAAGCGACTAGAAAACTTTTTACACACAATTATATAAATTATTCACCCAAAGATAATTTCAAGTAATGATATAATTTTTGAAAATTAATTATTTTACATATTTTATTTAACAAAAGTTAAAATAGTTTTGAATTGTAAAGTATATAGATTTTTATATATCATTTTAAAAAATGCAACTTTATATGGAACAATAAAAAAAAATTTAAGAGCAATTCATGATTAGTTTCTGTGTTGAAATTTGATTTTGCAAGAACTAACTTTTATAATTCCATTCAACAATTTTATATTCACTTAAAAAGTTCTCGAGAGAGTGCGAGAAGCGCAAAGAATAAAATTTGCATAAGGGTGTCTAAGTTTTTTACCACTTTCCTGATCAAACAACTGAAAACATATTTACCAGATTGTGGTTACCGCTATTCCTCATATTCTTTTAGGTTTAAAAATCCAACTCAGTCGAAAAAAAGTATACTTATTTAAAGAAAGAACGTTTTTGTGCCTTATTTCGTAATTTAAAATATCGCTGCTCTAATTAATTTTATTTTATTTTATAAGCGGAGTTGAACAGTCGACCCAATTTTGAGTTTGCGATTATCAATGTTCAACTTCATAATTTTGAACCTAATCCTGAGGACAAGGGATGAGATTACTAAGTATTTGGAGAAATTTTATTTGCGGAGGACTCTTTAATGAAATATGCCCGCATTTGCGTTCTATGAAGATTAAAACCACGAAAACCTCTCACGGGAAGCTGGACTGTTAGGGGACTCTAACCTCTGATCCGTTTACCAATGAGAATGTTTTACGTCAGCACCTTGGTAGTCGTGAGCCGAGTCCGGAATTAATATCGACCAGTCATCGCTGGCATTCGAAACTGAGCCTTATTGGGTAGCGAGCTCTCTATCCCCTGAGCCACCATGCTATAATTAATTGGCATATTTGAAATCACCTTTGTAAATCACTAAGATTCAGTCTTAGTATGTGAAGATTCGATCTAAGACTAGACCTAAATTTACTAAGAGTATTTAATTGTTTTCTGTGGTTTGTGCATACTGTAATTTAAAAACTTTACCTATTTTATCTTTTCTAAATGTGGCATTCCTTTCTTCCAGCGTTCCGAGAAAACCATGAAATAACTCAATGTGACTTACATAGGGCAACGACACTAAAATAAATGCTTGCCCTCCTGCTTCTCCTAAAATATAAAAACGTGGAATTATTTCTTTCTTTAATTAATTGATATTATCTATAGCAGGTAATACTCCATATATTAAGATCGACACATAGTCTGTTTTAATTTACAAATGCCACTGAAACTTCGATATGCACTGTATACGGAAATGAAATCTGCAATAAAATATTAGTTCAAATTTCGACCACCAGGTGCATTCTATTTTAGTAAAACTCATGTTTAAAACGCGTAATATCGTTTTTAGGTATAGCGTGTAGAGTTTCTCAAACCCGTGTAATCTGCAGAAAGTTGTTCTGAAAGAAAAATATTTTGCTAGAAGCCCTCGTTTTTTTCGTATGCAATGGCATATTATAATATTAAAATTATAATGATAACTAGTGTCGAACAGCAGACCCAATGTTGAGTTTACGACTATCAATGTTCAACTCTGCAGCCTTGTAAATTGATTCCTACCCAGAAGACAAGCGAACACCTGGATCAAGTGTTGGTACAAACTAGACTTCGAAGTGGAAGTTGTGATTGATCTTACGAGCATATGTATTGCGTTTAGTGGAAAACAACGAAAACCTCCCTTGCTCATAGAGATCGGATTTTATCTCATAACCTGCCATCACTGAGGATATTTTACGTCAGTACTGTGGTAGGCGCCAGCCGGGAGCAGAATTCATATCGACCAACCACCTCTGCAGTTTGAATCAGGGTAACCTCATTGGGAGGTGAACTCTCTATCCCCTGAGCAGGGGAGATTGATTGCTAAAATAGTGATTTTAGATTTCAAAAAAACTGCCCCTAATCGCTTAGATCTTGTTTCGTACATGAAAAGTGTCAATGATTGAAATTAATGATTTGATTTTTTTCAGATTTCATTTCCTCCCGGTTCATGAAGCGTATAATAAATTTTATCGACATCATTAACATATCAGTAATAATTTGCAAACATTTAAAAATCGGTAATTTTTTATTTAGCGTATTAATTATGCGGATGCTTTTATTTAACTATGAATTAATTTTAATTTTCTTGGACTAGTGAATTTTTTATTCACAGATTTTATACACCATCGATTTGCACTTTAAATGCACTGTATCGTTTATTCATTGTATGAACCTAAGCAATGTATAGCTATAATGCGTCGAAAGTAAAAGTATTCAGCTGTGATTTCGTTTACGATTAGTGATGCATGATTAGTTTACGATTAGTTTACGATGTATGTACGCTTTAAAAATATACTGCTGCATTAAGTCCTTCTACGAGATTAATTATCAGTGCTTTCTGAAGCTCTTTCGCCAAACTATGATTTTAAAATATATATATATATATTATCATTCAGTGAAGAATTATATGAACTTTCGAACTGACAAATAACTTAAGTGTTTTTTAAGTTATGAAAATTTTAAAAAAAACCCAGTCAATTAGGCGCTATTTCACAACCTAGATAAAAAATTATCAATTCCAAATGTTTACACATTTTTATGAGTCCAGATGATAAAATGTTGAAGCAACTTTTTAAATATCAAAAAAATAGATCTTTAACGCTTTTTATTATTACAAAACCGCTGCTTTTTTTCATATAAGCGTTTTTTACAACATAGAGGATGCTGAATAAAGATAGGACAAACTTTGTCAAGTTTATTCCCTCTTTAATATAATTGTAACCACCTGTATACGAACTTGTTCTTATCACCTAGATTTAATCTGTTATAACATCCAGGAGGTACTCTAATATAAGGTACGAAGTTAATCGTTTACGTAGCATAACATATTAAATTTCGACATTGAAAAACATGATCTAGTTGTTGTTTGCGGCAGAGTGCATCGCAGTAGAAGGTGTTTAAATGGTAAAAAGCAACAAAGATTACCATTAATTAAATATGTACATAATAACGGCTCAAAATAAGAAAACGAAATTAAACAAAAGGATTGATTACATTACATGTGTCTCATTCCAGATTCATTGTCCAAGTGGCGACACCATCAGTGCAGATTTAATATTCGGGTTATCCCCGAGCGCTCTAAATGTTCAATGTAGGCTTTCGTTTTACGTTTCCAACTCTTCTCCTCTATGTGGACATTGTTTTTTTTGTAATAATAACCCATATGCACCAATAATTTCAACACAATCCATAAGTTTTTGAATTCGGCTGACCTTAGGTCAATACAACTACCCCCAAATCATTTATAGATACATGTTTAAGAATGATAAAGTGATTTTCGGTAGATTCTCTAATGAATGGTATTTAACATCTATATGTTTTGTTCAATGACGGTTTAAAGGATTTTCAGATAGTTTTGAAGCATCAGAAATGTTACCAAATATGGAACAGAATATGTTAAGTTACGTAGAAATTACAAATATCAGCTGAATCTATTATTGCCCCAATCTAATGCTGAACAAAAGAAGAAAATAAACGCTTTAGAAACACTCAAATTGATCCAGGTAGTCTGAAAAAATGTCATTAGTAAATAGTTTTAGAAAAGGTGGTTTATCGACTCCTTCGATGGTGCAACCCCTTGAAACGCCGCTTGACCATAACCATCAAGAAGGGAGGTTATGGCTGGATGGCTAGATGATTATGGCTTGACTCTACTGCTCATGTTATTATGGAGAACGAGGTAGAGCTCTATGATGAAAAGTGATTAGAATATTCGTGATGTTTTAATTTGTGAGACACAGGCCATTTCAATTGTGGATATTATAGAATCGTCCAGTGAAAGCAGGGACGGAGATGAAACTAAATCTGCGATATCTTCTCCAACCTATAATAACGCTGTGAGGAAAGCTTTCATCTGAATTCTCCATGTTTCATAGTTCTCTTTGCTTAAGAGTGTAACTCTTTGCGTCGCGATTAAAATCATGTTTTAACGTAATCATAATGGTTTGTGTTATTCGCAGAAACTATAAGCAAGGCAATAAATAAAAGAATTTATAGTTAGGAAATTAACTTAATTGATATTTTAATGTTGTGAAGAGCCTTGTTTTTTCTGTATGTTTGGCATGCTTTTTGTGGACAAAAAAATTCCGTCATTTGTTTTGTAGCATGACTTGTTAGACCACACTAAGATTATATACTGAATCTCATAAGTGATCTTGAAATTATAAATTAGATTTTGATATTGTAAGGGAAGATATTGAGTCGTTAAAATTACTTAATGTAATCACGAATTGTTTCAAACTCTCTTCATTTAAATGTTTGCATTAATTTCATTAATATAATAGGAAAAAAATATGCAAAAGTGATTGTTAGGAACATTTTCAACTTCAATATTTAAATTCTCGTGGAATTTTTGAAGCTAAATTAAACATGACTAAACATGATAAATCATAGTTTATATTTTAGGAAGCAAATATCTCATTTTATGAATTTACTTTGTAAAGATACCACCAGAAATATTAATTAAGTGTAGCAGATAACTTCCATTTTATACAAAGAGGGTATCGTCCGCCTTAAAGGTGCAGCTAAAAAGAGTGTCCACGAGGAAAAAATTATTTAGAAATTTAGCACAATGCTACCAAGAACAATGTTTAAAGGGTATTTTCGACTTTACAGAATCAGCATTGTTTTAGTGACTGTCCATTTTGGTGTAATGAGACATTCTGAGACGTAAAAGTTAAGCTCTCGATCTAGTTCAGCCTTGACTTAACCTAACAGTCATTAATAATGAACAGCAGTTACGAACTCTTGATTTTACTTTGTAACCGTAGTTGAACAGCCGACCCAACTCTGGGTTTACGACTGCCAGTGTCCAATTCCGTAGCCTTATAATTTTGAACCCAATGCAGAAGACAAGAGAACTCCTTGATCAGTACCTCCAGAGATAGGGATTTGTTGTGTGAACTGGGAGGACTTTGTGGCAGGTTTAACGACCTCAGTCAACCCAACAGATTTAACGTGCACTATTTAATACACGGGGATTCTCTGGCTGGCTGGATTCGAACTCCCGTTCTCACGAACACGAGTCCAATGCCCAACCAACCAGGCTATATCGAATAGTTCTTGATTAAAGCTTTCAAAAGACTGTTTTAATCAAGAATTACAAAGCAACGATACCGTGAGGGAAAACAAAACATTAATACTTTAATGCATCACTCTTGATTATAAGCAATGCTTTTGAAGGAAGTTGAGTCGAAAGCGCACAGTGGTGACTGACAACGGGAAGACGTGAGTCCAGATTTGCACTTATAAATATATAATACCTTAATGCACTGTATAAGATTAAATCACAGGATGAGTGTTTAAATATTTAGAGCAATTTCTGTCAAGATCAATGTCTAACTACAAAGCGGTGAGTTAACGAGGATGGATCTACCAGCCGCTGCAGATATCTGGTACTTTGTAATGAACGTATGATAAATATTATGTGAAAAGTTTAGTTTGATAACCATTTCGATTTATTAGGAAATTAAAAATGTTTACTATTACTACCTCAAGTTCTAGGTCTTTCTTTTAAAAAAATGCTTCAAAGCAGTTATTTAACTATACGCATAGTAAGAAAGTAAAAAAAAAGTTTAAGAATTAGAAAGAGATTATTACTTACCATTTTGCCAATAAATATCTAACAATTTTTTAGCAATATTTTCTCCAGCATGCTTCAAACTTCCTGCACCTATAGAACTTACTTTTAGATCCATAAAGAGGAAAACCAATTCCTTTCGATATTTTGGACTACCTGGAAAAAATTTGCAAAGAAATATTATTTCCTATTTAAGTTTCCTGCGTTTAGGTAAAGAAATTTTAAAATTTTCCTATCGAAAAATGTTGTAATCAATACTCTGAGGTAGCCAGTTCCTTAACACTAGGTTTACGGACGTTTCTTATATACCTATCTCTACGGACACACGTCAATTTGACGTATGAAAGAATTGTGATTCTTAATTTAATAAATTCAATTTAGTAGATTTTTATCCACCACTATTTCTAAATAATTCGTTTGCTTAAATAATTCACCACTTCATATTTCAAAATTTACTTTGTTGATATTTACCATTTTTTAAATTATTTTCGCGTGTCCGGAGCAGTTGGCATCTCTGCACTTAGAAACCAATGTATATGTATACTATAAGAAAAAAATGAAGATATGAGATATATATTTATAAAATATTCTAGTATTTTATGTTTCAATACTCGAACTAAGCAACTGAAACCTTCAAAATCTGACACTCTGACATCAATTGACATTCTGCGTTTGTTCTTTCTATTATTGCTTATCGGCAACAGTTGTTTATCGCTTGTTTTATTTGAGATAACGAATCGAAGTATTGTCGGTACATTCCTATTTATTATTGATGTGATAATTTCTTGTTTACTTAAACTTTTGTCTAAATTATGATCGCGTCAAATTGACGCATATCCGTAGAAATTGGTATACCACATAGAGAATTTCAATATTTCAACGCTTTTGAGGTAAAGAGCATTTAATATATATTTACTTCGATCAATGGTTAAAAGTCATTACAAGAGATAAAATAAAAATTCAAACGGGTTTTATAATTTTCCTTACAAAAGTCGAAATACGTCAAAATGACGTGCCCCGTAAACCTAGTATTAAGTAACTGTTGAGCTTAAGCAAGTTAACTGAAAGCAAAACTTATGCACAACTGCGCCTTGTATTAAGAAAGTTTAGTTGGAAAGAAAACAATTTCGATAAACATGCTGGTAAAGATTTGTTCGGAAATATTCTAGTAATAATACAGGCTTTACTGCAAAAGACTATAGATATACACAAAAGAATAAATGAAAGACATGATACAGAAAAGAAACTCCACGTTTTAAATTTTCGAATTATTAATAATAAAATAAACATATGTATTTAAATTTGTTATTTTTTCATGCTCGACATCTAAACATTCGTCACTAAAATAATATTCTTGCAAATCCCTTTAATGCTACTTGTGAACTCTTAATGGTTTGATTATAATGAATCTAATTTATGGTCAAAAGCTACTTTAATAATCCGGCGTTTTGTTAACAACTGTCATCATTTTGCAATACGCAATATTAATTGGAAAATTCTCCTGTACTTCCTAATCAACATTTATTGCTGTGATCTTAAAAATACGTTAGACTAATTTAAAAATATATCATTCATTACCCAGAAAGCCTAATTCATTTCAGACAGTTTGCGATAAGTATTAAATGGAGAATGTTTCCTGTAAATACCCTCAATGGAATAGGCTTCACTAAATTTGTTCAAATTAAATTATTCGCATGCTTCTAACTTTGGTCTACACATTCATAAACAGGCTGTAATAAGCCTGAAAAATATCAGACTGAATATAAAATATTAGAGATTTTTTCAATCAGCCTGTAAAATAATTATTGAAAAAGATCGGTGATATCTAAGACATAGAGTTCTGAATAAGCTTACGAGAGTACTATGATGGCTCAGGAGATAGGGTGACCACCTTCCTATAAGGAGACTCGGGTTCGAATCCAAGCGGTGTTTGGTCGATACGAAATCTACACCTGGCTAGCACCGACCACAGTGCTGACGAGTTTCTTACGTTTAACGCTTTTAAACTTGTATTTTTCAATAAAAATAGACTAAAAAAGTCAACTATAACTTGGAGAGAGAAGCAGATTGCATATTAAAAATTAGCAATACAAAAGTATACAAAAGCTCAGTTAATCTGTTAAAAAATCTCATGCAACAGAAAACTATAAAAATATATATACTTGTTCCCCAGTGTTATTCTTACCGGGCGTTGTAATATCCCGCATGTATTCTAAATAGGTGTCTAGCTTCTCCCGCAGCATGCAAGTTCTAAAGCAATCGCATGGAACAGGATGGTAGGTAATAACTGGATTTTCCCCATCAAAGTACACGTCGAATTCCAAACCATTTGCTCCTTGGTCTAAGTAACTATCTACTTCTCCCAATGTATTTACCATATGAGCAATATTCCAAATGGGCCTTCTATTATCTTCAGCACTTGTGACTACCTGTCGAGTATAACGTTCTCAATTAAAATATTGATAATGTCTTATATTATTATCCTAGAATTGCATGCGATCAAGATTACTCAATAACCGTCGACTGTTATCACTGGAATCATGCCGATATTAAACCTGGAATATCTTATTTTGTTTCATTTTTTTTTCTTTTACGGTTACTCGTTATGTCAGTCTATCCACAATGTCGGCATAATCAGTAACAACTATATCATCAATATTTTATGTCTCCCTAAAATCATTTGTGCTAAATTTCTGAAAATTGACAGAGTATACAGAGAACACTATCATACGAAAAATCGTTTAAAAATTCCAATTTGTCCGTTTTGAGAAGATTTTTAAAAAATTCATATATATATATATATANTATATATATATAAGGCATGATAGCAAAACATAAAGGCTCTTACCAGGACGCATTCCCTTACGACAAAGAAAGAAAGGTTTCAAAATAAAGAATAATTGTCCTAAGATAAAAATCACTATTTATAATGCGTCTATGCTTAAAAAATTGCTGAGGTAAAATGTACTGATGTAAAATATATGTAACTGATGTAAAACAGTGCTGATGTAAAATATCCCAAGTGGTAGACGAATTATGGGTTATTTATAATAATTAATATCCCTTTGCAGTCAAGCTCACCGTGAAAAGTTTTCCTAGTTTTCCTTTCTATGCAATGCAAATGAGGATTGGTCCCATTAAAAATCCTCCACAAACGCAAAATTTTACCAATACTTGATCCAAGAGTTCCTTTGTCTTCTAAATTGAGACTAAAATTACAAGACTATGGACTTCAACATCGGTAATTGTAATTTCAAATTTGTCTCGGCTGTTCAAAGACGGTTATAAAAAAAATTGTCATTATAATATAATTGAATAATGTAATTAAAAACTACAAGTTTGTTATAAATATATTGAAGTATCTCTTTTAAAAAACTCTACTCAGTATCGCTTTTTTTTACTTATTAAAACAGAATTTTGCGCATATTGTATCATTATAGCCAATTAGTTTATTATATTAAAACTATTTCGAAATTAAAAAAATTAATTTGATTTTAAAGTAAAAAAGTACTTTGATTGCTTTTGAAAATTAAAAAAAATTAATTTAATCGATATGTTTTGATTTCAAAATGAAATATAGTTATATTGTTCCATACCTTTAATATAAACAAAATCAACAAATTCCAGACCATTCTTTTATTTATCTTCCTACGACCCTCTGTATTCCTAATGCTCCAATAAGACTGAAATGCTCCAATCCTCTTTCCAGTTCTTATGAATTCCTGTGTAGCTCTTCTGTAATTCATAATGGTTACAGCAATTAGAAAAAAACAAATTTTTCACTAAAATTAAAATTCACGCAAGATTTGAATTTTTGAACTTTGTGCTCCAATGTGTTGCAAATAAAATAAAAGACAGAATGACAGCTAATAGTTTAAATGTTACTAAAAAGAGCTACACAAAATTACAACGTGTTTTCATCATTGTTGTACCCTTTCTTCGACGCGTAATTTGATTAAGTATTCCCGAGAGATTAAATGAGCTATGATTTTTTTGAACCTAACTTAAAATACAAGGGAACTCATTTTAAATTACAAGGGAACTCCTGAATCAAGCATTAGGGTGAACTATCTTTCGTGGAGAAGTTTTTAAGGAGCTTATCCGCATTGGCGTTACATGCCGAGGAAAACCACGAAAACCTCTTGGGTTATTTCGACTAAAAAGAGATTCTAACCAGTAATCTGTCTAGCGTTTAGGATATTTTCCCTCAGCACTGTGGTCAGTCCTAGCCGGGAACAAAATTCACAGCAACCATTCACCGCCTGGATTCGAATCTGGGTCAACTCATTGCGAGGCAAACGCTCTATCTCCTGAACCACCGTGGCTAAAGGAGTAAACATGCTCTTTTAATATTTATAATCAGTTGAGAACGATTTATGAATAAAATAATCAAATGAATTTTAGCTAAAAATATTATCGCAGAAGCATTCTTTTTAATGTCCATTTGCGAAAACCAAAATTAAAGCAACTTTAAATCAGTTTTCTTAAATTGTGTCTTGAAAATAATAATTTTTAGTCAACACAGTCTGAGAATAATCAGCTACGTAAGCATAGATAGTGTATGCACATTTCGGCAAGAGGGAGGTACAGCAGTATGACTGACATACGTGCCCCAAAGTTACCTTGAATGTCACGAATTGTCAATAAAAATTAAAATAATTATTCGTGTATTTACATGTTTGCATTTAATTATAATTTTTCGTAATATAATATCCATTTAAGTACAGTCAGTGTGTATAAAAAAATATACCTAACTTTCCTCTTGTTGTGAAAGAAAAAAGGAAGAGATTGAAAGTGAGGTAAATCTATTTGGAGCTTTTACTTATTGCAGTTTTAATAATCAATATTGCATTTTAAACTTTAATAGTAAAGAGCTGTAAACACCACTCTAATTGATTAAACTGTAAAAAATTCTCGTAAAATTTACAGTTTTAAACCGACAACTGGGTTGTGCAAAATAGTAAAATTTGCGAAGTAAATACATAACATCAACGGTTTTTTAACATACTTAAATAATTATTTCTCGTAAAAATTATGATGAAAATCTATGTCTGGACTGGTTTTTTAAGGAAACAAAACCAGTTTTTTACAACAAAAATAAATCTGTTTTCTTAACCGATTTTAACCCAAATGGAATCAGACCTGGATCATTTCATCTGGACGCACACGCTATGCCTCTTGAGCCGCTGTAGCTTCATTGTTTATTGATTGGTCCAACATTTTATCAATTTGACAATAAAGTAGAACTTCAGTTGTATTTATACGATTTGCAAAACCTTGAAATAGTTGCTAAAAGGTAAGAGCCAGTATACAAAACAATCGTAAAATGATTGGGAAAAAAAGTTATACTACGAAACGCAAAACTGCAGGGCAAAAACTAGAATTTCATTTGATGGTTTTAATCCTTTAATGATTAAGATGAAAACCCCTTTTATCAACAAAACGGCTTTAAACCGTTAAATATACGAAAAAATTTCCAAAAAAAATAACAATGGTTATTTTTTAGTTTGCCGATTTATAGAAAAAATAGACTTATTCCACTTTCAAAATAACGGTTCTAATACTTGATATTCCCCGATGGTCTAAAGATTGGTGACCGGTGCTCAAGATAAAACTAAATTAATTTAATAACCAATTAATAATTAATAGCGAATCATTTAAATAACACATAACAAATGAAAGTGCTCTCTTTTTAATTGATATTATATTGTATTTTTATTAGCTTGTTTTTGGGGTTTGTAACGATAGTATTTTATAATAAAGATATCGGTCACACTTTCTGACTAGCTGAAGCACTTAAATATGAATAGGAACTTAGTACTTGATGACAGCGTTCCCATTTCGCTACAAGCAGAAGATATCGTCATGTAATTGTAGAAGGGAATTAATTGTCAATGAAATTTCAGACTGCTTTCCGTAAAGCTGGAAAAAGAATTTGCTGTCAAGTTTCTGAAATTAAAGTTTATCGTCAATCACAATTTTGACCACAAGGTGCCACTAAATCAAAAAAGAGGAAAATAGCAAAATAAAATTAAAATTTTAAAAGCATAATTTAAAACTTTATGTAGTTTCATTTTAAAATCCAACATTTTTATTAAAATCTATAGAAAAGTAATAAAGTTTAAAATTTGAAATATTGAGAGATGTTAAAGTGTAATCATAACATCACATACCTGGTAAAGGTCTGAAGTTTTCTTTAGAAATATTCAGCTTTAGTTAACATTAGAGATAATACAAAATGATTAAATCCCAAGGGGAACAGAAAAGATGATTTTATATAATGGGTAAAAAAAAAAAGAATAAGGAAAAAATTAACATTATATTGATTTATAATTGATGTAACTAACGTCGAATAAAAAAAAGATTTTACTATCTAAAAAAGCTAAGAGAGAGAAAGAAATGAAAATAAATTAAAAAAAAAGTTTCAAATGTAATTAATCAACGTCATGACTATGAATAGGGTAATTTCGAATCATTTTCTGCAAGAATGTGTTGCAATATTTTCTTTTGAAAATTAAATTAAATATAAAATGAAAACAAATTTTGAATCGGAAATTGAATTTTCTTCATTATTTATGTTTGTAATATTTTTTAATTTTATTATTCCTCTAAAATGTTTAGGATGATTATTAGAGAAGAGCAAAAACGAATTCTTAGAAAATTGTCTTCTATTAGAAATAAAAACGTGACCGAACCTATCAAAAAACAATACTAACATTTTTAAATTTATTTTAAGACTGTTCAAGGACGATTATAAAATAAAATAAAATTCATTTTAAGTAGATTGGCGTCGGCTCAGGGAATAGAGCGCAAGCTTGAAATTATTTGATCTAGGATCAAATCACAGCTATAATTGACTGATGGAAGTTCTTCTCCTGGTTCACATGGACCACAATGCTGACATAAAATATCCTCAATGACAAACGGATCATGGGCTTGAATCCACTCTCCATCGGATTGTTTGTGGGAGTTTTTGAGGCTTACCTTTCCCGGTAACGAAAAAGTCGAAAAATCGTCGATCGTAAAGTCATCGAAAAGTCGTCCCCGAAGGCTAGTTTGTTTCAGTGATTGATCCAGGAGTTCCCTTGTCTTCTGGTTTGAGCTTAAAATTGCAAGGCTGCGGAGTTGAACATTGATAGACTTAAATAGTATTGGATAGGCTGTTCAACGCCGGTCATAAAATAAAATATAAAATTGATTTTAAGCTTGTCTACTTAAGCATTTGGTTAAAAATTACCTTTTCATTTTTGAAAGTTCCTCGCATTATTATTTTTAGCTTTGTTAAATTTACGAATTCATTTCATAGTTTTTTTTAAAAAAATAATTATTTTATTTTATTATTTTTTTATTATTTTTTTATTATTAGTTTCATTATTTTTTTTTATTCATTATTATTTTTATGGAATGAAATTGAGAAATTCGGTTTTTTGCATATGTCGTCAACATTTTTTAGCTTATCATGCTTATTAAAAAACTTTCCGAATTTTCGAATTAGCCTACAAAAGTGTGGGTATTTGCAGCAATAATATATATATATACACCCTTGTGCAAATTAATTGAAACAAACTCAATAAATTCAGAAAACTAAGAGAAAATGCTATTTCATTTAAATTTATGCAAACTCAAAAATTTTTAGTACATAATATAATCTCCACGACACTTTATTAACATTTGGACACGATTCGGCATGGATTCCACTAATTTTTTATAGTCATTTATAATATTTGTGTCCTTGTACCACACATGAATTAACACCGTGATTAGCTTCTCCATAGTTGTACAGTCCATATTTAATAGGCGCTTCTTGCATATGGCCCAGAGATTCTCAATTGGGTTGATATCCGGAGATTTCCCTGGCCATTCCAATGTCTCAATTTAATTATCAGACATGAATTTCTTGACAATTTTGGACGCATGGCATGGAGCTAAATCCTGTTGAAAAATCCCTGTTCCATCAGGGTATCGTTTCTTCAACTCTGGAACAACTTTTTTACCCAGAATAGTAATGTACTGCTCAGAACGCATCATACCGTCAATAGGCTGCAAANCGGTCTGGAGAGCAAATGTCGATAGAACTATGTATGTACGTCATAATGACGTTATACGGACCAAGGGAATCCACTAAATGAAGAATAGTTCATATATTGAGAGATAGATGGCGTATTTTGTGTAGCACAGACCCGGTAACTGTTGCTGCAAAGCTGAAAAATCATGCTGCATTCCAGAAAAAAGGAATGTGCCATTTTATTCGAAATTAAACTAGTAAACGTGTATAACATATTAATCATATATATATATATATATATATATAAAGTAAATTTTATCTAATAATATAGTTAAAAGCACGCCACTCAGAAGGTGGGAAAAAATGTTAACACCTGCTACTAAATTTTATCAATATTTATATTACATACATTGAATATTCTCTACTTATGCAGTATACTTTTTCTATTTAATAGGAATTAACACCATATTTCTCATCGAATCTTATGAAATGTCAGATTATCTCAAACAATAAATTTATGAGAAGGAAATATGACCATAATTTGGGCAATGTTTTTGGGTAATTAATGCGAAAGGAAAATAAAATTTTATTAAATAAATATTTCATAAAAACATAAAAGAATACTTAAATAATCCATAATTTGTTTTAAGAACGGATAAGTAAATATAAACTACTTACTTTGATTTCGTTTTATGTTATTAATAGTTTTTGTAATAAAATAGTCAGATTTCTTTCGCTGCTTTAATGGAGTTGTATCAAAACACTAAACTGTTTTATTCTAAAAATCTTCCCATCTAACATATATATTAGATCAAGGTGTAGAGCTTAAGTTCAAGCGTAGGTCCAGCCTAGAGGTCAAGGTGTAGGAAATATATCTACTCATAATTTATTGTAGTTTTCGAATTCGTGCCGTGCTTGGGTTTTTGATGTGTTCTAGAACGGTTGCTTGAAAACTTTATTGGAAGTCTAATTGTGATTTACGTGACGATAAGAATCATATTTTCTGTATAAAATAAATAAGAAATAGTTTATTAAAATTCAAGTGTTACCATTGTAGAGTATGCAAAATAAAATGCGGACCACCCTAAATTGTTTTATTGTCGGATCGTACGATTAATGAATTTCATAATTATATGTAAAATTGCTTAAGAGATTCTAGAGATATGGAGAAATACGCAAAAATTATAATTAACATTAAGGGGTCCAATGTTTCGATCGTTTTCCTGTCCGAATTGCTGAACATTTGTTTCCATATTGCGACTAACCCCTCCCCTATTTTGAAGACAAATCGGTTTTTAAAAAATGTATGCTTATTCAGAGAAAATACATTTTTATCTTTAATTTTGTAATTTCAAATATTATCTGCTCAAACTAACTAGCATATTTGAGGTCACCCTTTCAAATCATAAAGTCTGATTTCCAGTAAGTGAAAATCCGAGCATTAGATCAAAAATTATTCAGTGTGATCCGTTTTTTTTCTTTTTTTTTCGCACTGTAAAGTGTCCCAAAAAAAAGTTTGATTTCCTTTATATTAATTTTAATTTTTGCATTTTTTGCCATATCTCGAGAGCTTTTAACAGAATTAAAAAAATTTTGTACACAATTATAAAATTTGTTTACCAAAAAAATTGAAACAAAAAAAACAACTTTTAGTATCTATTATTTTGTATTATTTTATTTAAAAATCGTCGAACAAGAAAGTTATGTGGCAAAATGCAAAATAAGTTCTTGAAAAATTTAATTTGAAAATAAAAATCTTATGTATAATATGTCCTTATGCTCATGGAAATGTGAAAAAAAAGGATTATTGAGATTAAAAGAAGTTATTGAGATTGTAAGACTCAGTTTTATACATTTCCGTTGTTTTTACTGAATCTTGAGGATATATTAAATTTGCTAACTTCAGAGAAATGTTAAAATATGTAAAAAAATTGTTCAAATCTGAAGAATAAGAATATATTGTTGTTATTGGTATAAATGTCACTGGCGAATATCAGACAGCCTGCTTGAAGTAAACTTTGAAGTCAGAAGATACGCATTTTGCTCATTCCTCCAGTTTAATAAACCAAAGTTTTCAAATTTACATTCTGTCTAAGTTCGAGCTATTATAACAATAAAATCCTTATTAAATTATTTAAAAAATGTATTTCTGAATAAAACAGATACTTTTTAGTTTAATTTAAGTGCTTAACAAAATAATTTCAACGTATGTGCACCGAATCAAGGGTTTTATTAACATGATATTTAAAAATTTATGAAATCACACAGTATTAATTTTTAACAGATACAGATGGAATAGATAGACGCGTTATAAAGCTTTGTTAAACATAATATTTTACATTAATTTACTGAAAAAAACATTAAATAATGATTGAAATATTTACAAAAATTAAAAAGTTTTTCGAAAGGTTCCGCTCTAAAAACTAACAATTAGACTTTTCTTTTTAGTTTCGACTAGTATCCATATCTTGCATATCCCAGGCCACCTAAGATTCCATATCCACCATAAGCTCCTCCATATCCACCATAAGCTCCTCCATATCCACCATATGCTCCGCCATATCGACGACCTCCATACCCAGCTCCAACACCACCATATCCGTATCCAAGACCGTATCCTGCAGTTGCGGCAGGTACACCCAAGTATCCTTCACCACCAACGTATGGAGCATCGGAGGCGATGAGTACTGCGGCTGGGTTCTGGTTGGCGGTGCCTGGCTCATTGGTATGGACCTTGGCTCTGAATCCAGCTTTGTCAGCAACGTAGTTCACTTGTCTTTTGATTCCTCGGGCATCAGTGAACCCGTAGCTTCCGACAACGTGCTGTCCACCGGTTCCAGATTCTTCTCTGTGTTGTTCTCCGTGTTTGTCTTTGATGCTGTATCCGAATTTGTAGGGTTTGGGTGCATGGTGCTCATAAACAGGGTAGTGGCCTTCACCCATCTGGAAAAATTTTTTTGCATCAATACAAGGTACGAAATTTGCTAAATTTTAAAACGGAACAATTTTATATTTTTGCATAAGAATTTTTAATTCTTGAAGAAAGATGTTTTTGTTATAAAATTTTAATTTCTTAGTACGTTGTTCCCTTGAAGAAAGCTCATGAAATATTTAAAAACAAGTTGATTTCAAAAATGTGCAGAAAATTGGAAGATAGTATTGGAAAATGACTGATATATATTATTAGAGATTATTTATAATTTATTACGAAAATGCTCGGCGTTTCTATTGGTATGGAATTGAAGACAAACTTTGCAATAATCTGGTGATTTTGTTGTTAGTTTTAGCCTAATATTAAGAAGTTGATAACAATAAGGAAAAAAATATGGTCAAAATTACAATAATATGGTAAAATTTACCGTATATTTGGTCAATGGAAACACCTAAAAGCTCGGTAACTTTCACCGAAGCGCTTTTGATAAATTTTACAATAAAATAGGGTTATATAATATGCGATAAAATTTGGTAAATTTAGCAAAATTCGATTATTTTATAATGATACCTTAGAGCATGGTATGAAAACCATTCATTCGGTTAGATTTACTTTTAAGTTTTGCATTTCTCACTAAACGTGTGGTAATAAGAGCTATAATTTTAAAAAAGCATTATTTTCGTTACTATATAAATGGAAATATTGCCGAATGAATGGTTTAAATACTTTATATTTTTATTTTATTAACCAGAATAATGGGTATTTCTTTCCAGAAATGTCATTACCGTACATAAAGGTAAAATAAAAAATGTTGTACAAAAATGAATACTGCTTTTATACAGAAATCTCATAACACGAAAACATTTTAAAATTGTGTGCAAATTACTAAGCGTTCAGAGGCTCAAGCAGAATGCGATGGAAAATATATGATTTATAATTAAATACTATTATTTTTTAAGAAACTGCGTTTTATTTCTTTTGGTTACAATGCTGATGTTTTGAAATCATCTGAAATTTTCAATATACTTGTATGTTTGAATCTATTATAAGAAATAAATTGCTTATAATTGTTTTACTCTGAAATCTTAGATCCTAAAATATATATTAAACTTGATAACAGTAAACTAAAATCAACCTTTAAATGAGATAAAAAAAAATTACTTACGTAACCCAAATGGGCTAAAGACAAGCCACAGAATGCAAAGAGAAGAACACACTAAAAAAAAGGCAATACATTTTATTTGGATACTTGGATTTGAGTTCATTCGTAAACAAAGGATGCAAAATTTTAGAACAATAAATTTGGAAACATAAATGGTTGTGTCAACTTCAAATAAACCTCATATAAACCTCAAAACAATCTCAAATAAATCTCAAAAACACCTTAATTTTTGTAAGGGTTTATTCGTACTTAAAAATACTTCATTTGATTAAACCTAATTATTACAATGATTATTTTATTATTAGTTATGTCTGTTATTTATTACAGCTCTTTTGAAATAAAGTAACTGTAAGAAAAACTATTGCAATATTAACTTCTTTTCCTTGTGTTTCTCAGTACACGCGTGTTTTTTAACCGCAACATGAAATATTAGTCTTCAATTTCTGCATAAAAAAATATTTATACATCTTCAACACACACAGTTTTATGCTTGATAAAATTGCGTGATAAGGAATAAAGCAAAATGTTTGTCGTTATAAATTTTTACTAAAATAAATTGTCTAAAATAAACTAATTAATATGAAATAAACTAAATAACAATAATGAAATGAATCAAGTAGTTGAAGTGAAATAAAATTTAACCCATTCATGGTTCAGTAAGTAAAAAGTCACATTTTGACCCTCAGTTCTTCTCCTCATAGCAATTATGTACATCATTTGTCCATATACTTCGATAAAGAAATAGTGTATAGAGAAGAAACATTCTCCAAATTTTGCTCATTCGCTAAACCGCTAAGTATTTTAAAGTATATGGCTTTTAAAAAAAAACGATAATTCAGAAAGGGTTAAGGTGTTGCACACGGTATTTGCATTAACATTGAAATTGTAACATAATTATTTGAATAGTTTTAATAAATAATATTTGTCAAAATTCATTCAAAAAGTTAAAATAGTTGGTTTTGCAAAATTCAATTCTTAAAGCATTTTTGCGACCTAATTTTAACAACAAATTTATTTAGATGCATAAAGATAGTTTTTACTCAAAGCTTACCTGTGAGATCATAGCTAAGTTATTTTGTTGACGGTTGTGCTATACTAAAGGAGTAAACCTTTCTTTTTATACGTTATAAAGGCATGGAATGTATTGGAACTATTTAGAGTAAAATGCTATGCATGATTAGTAAATGATTACGTTTTTAACTTATGTCGTTCGGAATTGCCCGGGGGTCTTTTGTTGCAGAAAATTTTAATTCAAGGTTAATGTATAATGTTTTCACTATCGAATGAAGTTTGTTATTCGAGGAATTAACGATCATATGTGATAACAAAATAAGTACTGATGATTGAATTGATATTTAGAAAAATACAACGCTCTAAATGCAAAGAAAAATATACTTTGGTATTTTTCAATTATAAAAATCAGTTACTAAGAAAAATCTGTTAGTTTATCGGAATTATATTTGTACTGAAATACAAAATTAAAAAAAAAGTAGTTTGAATTTTTTTTCATTCATATTTAAAAATTTATCAGCAATTTATTTTGTAAACTAAAGAAACTTGATAGTTGAATAGCTCTTTCTCTTAGATCTACATAAGTACAAATTTGAAAAATTATTGTTTGAAGTAAGCCGTGTTTGGAAGATTTTACATTTGAAGCAAAAATAGTCACCGGTGTTTCGTGCTGTATTTAATATCCATAAATTATTAAAATGCTGAACATAATATTTTTCACTAATTTTGATCTAAATTAATTCAAAATAATGAAAAAGTATAAAAAATATGTTCAGTAAAAATTCTGAATCAAAGGGTTATAAACTACCATATTACTGATGTAACTTCCTTGGTGCGGAAAATTTTGTTTATTTTCATATTTTTAAAGTTTTTTTAATCGGTATCTTTGATTGCAATTGAATAAAAATGTCAGAATAAATATAAGATACAGGAAGGGTGTATGTGATTTCACATACACCCTTCAACTGTTAATCATTATGACGTCACTCTTTGCTTAAATTTTAGACTTACATTTTTTCAGTTTCTGAGTTTAACATTTGACTTATTTAATATCTGATTTTAATTTGATTTTTTACTTATGCTTATTATTTTTAGTTAAATTTGTTTTCGTGGTTTTCCTTATTTGTTAACTGTTTTATTGCTTTGCTTTAATTAGACTATTTTTTTTCTTTTGTTTTGTTATTGGTATGTGTTTTCTCTTATTGAATATAAACAAGATTCAAATGTAATTCAAATAAATATATATTATCAATAAATATTTCCAATGTTACAAGTGGTACTCTTGTATAACATCATGTTATAGTACATCGTTGTCTTTAACAACAAATAATCAGTCTTTCAACAGCGTTAGATCCTCTTCTTCTAACTGCTCTATATCTGATGTCAAATTTGGTTGCTCATCTTCCATGTCTGCCACTGGGTCATATGGGTTGTAGACAAATGGTAAACTCTTTCTTTCATCTGTTGTGATTGTTCCGGGTCATTGCTTCTCTTTCTCTTAGTTCTTCACTCCAGGAAATTTCTCTGAAAAAAGTATTAAATAACAATTTATTTAATGGTTATTTTATCATATTCAATCAAAAGAGTCAAATAATTGCAAATAAAATAGTAATCAAATTGTTAAGTGTGAGATGAACAGTTTATTAACTGCTTTTACCTAATACGGTTAAGCAATCAGAGTATTATCGCACCAACTAGGGCCACCTAATGAAGCCATTTAGTTCTATGCAGCTGCGTACTTATCATAGTCGAGCAGGCTAATCTGTCAAGCTCATGACCGGCAGAACAGGGGTTCGAGTCCTAGTATTGACACCACAATATTTCCTCCATTCCCTTCAACACTCGGAGAATTTCTAGTGTCCAGCACTCTATAATACCTATAACCTTACGAAAAACCGAGTTCCTATGCCTTGTTAAATAACTTTTTTACGTTGTAGAAAAATTATAGTTGGAAATGGTTAAAAAACCTTATAGTTTTGTATTCATGGTTTTATAACCATGCTATTTATAAATGGTTACAAAACCATAAAGGTAAAATATGCTCTTTATCTTAAAGTTTACGGTTAATTGAATGGACAGACAGCTGCCAGTTATTTTACCATAAATTTAAATTGAAACTTTGAAGAGTGTTCTGTAACAGAAACTGAGTTATCGTCTAAGTTAATAAACATAGTTTTTAATTATTAAAATGTTTATCACATTTTAATGCATGCGTCAATTCATTTTTCCATTTCATCTGATATGTTGTCTGAATCTTCCTCTTCTTCGAAAATCTCCTCCCTCTCTTTATTACTCCAGATAGTTCAAGTTGTTGTAGTTTTCAGAAGAATCTCCCCTTAGGCTTGATATTAGGCAATCTAGATGTGTCGTTCTTGCTTTGTCTGCAGTCCCTATTCTTACAGTCTGTGTACTTTTTGATGTATCAATTTCTAGTTTTTGTAGACTGTATTGTTCTTTTTATCCGTGTTCAAATATTTGTTTGCCAATGTAATCAGCAATTTTGCGTGAAGTTCTTTATTGCAATTTTTTATAAAGTCGTCTTCTTCAATCTCATGTCTTCACAATCATTTTTCCTTTTAAGTCGTCATAGAAATGGGACTTTCATAGCTGTTTTAGATTCTATATTATTCTGCCAAATGTAAGTATTAGATGTTATAATGACGAGAGTTGGAATTTCCGGTAAACCATTACCATTTGAATGGATAAACTGCTAAATAAATGGTTGAATTACCTCATATTTTGGACTTTACTTTCAGAATTGTGGTTCATTTTTATCAGAAATGTTATTACCATACAGTCCCGTGATTTGACCAGAATTATTTCTCCCTGCTTTACTTAAGACGAATATTAAAATTATTACATATAACTATTTGTTAAATTTATGGGTATTAAACATTACGAATTAAATCTTTCAATTAAGACAAGGATTGATCTACATGGATCAAATGTTTTTGTAAGAACTTTGGGTTTCTAAAGTCTACGTAACAAAACGTTAGTTATAAAGCATAAAAAGTATTATAGAAATAATAAAGTATTTATAGAAATGTTAGTTTCAAAAGTATAAGAAAATGCTTTTTACACTAAAACTGATAAAAGAAACAAAAGCTAAATTGTTTGAGCTTTGATGAAAAATAAAAAAAAATACTATTTAATTCAAATTTTTGTACGAAGAAAAAAAGAAATTTGAGTCAAGAGCTATGTAATAAATTAAATGCAATAAAAAAAAATTGTTCACAGCTGGCTCAAAAATATTCTTTAAATCTTTATTCATTTCCAAACTTTTTTTTTATCTTTATGAAAAACTTTCGTTGTAAATTATCTACTTTACAATAAGAAATTCATAAAAAGAAAAAAAAAATGAAGTAAAAAGTTTTGAATGAAAATTCCTTATCTTGTCTCGAAATACAGAATGTTTTAAATATTTTTTTATTATTTGAAATTTTTTGTAAGTATCTCTTAGAAACATAGAAACTAGTTAATAGAAGATAAAAAGCTGATTAAAAAACCATTCTCATATATCATTAAGTAAAGTTTTTATTCTCATTGATATTGAATGCAATTAAACATGTTTTTTGCAAATAACTCAGTAAGTAAAGGTATCTATGAGAGAAATAGCACAATTATCGACAGCATGATATCATACAGCCATGGTAAGAAATAAAAATAAGATGAAGCGAGTTAAGACTAATGCAAGAGCAATTTTTTTATATGAAAATAAAGCGGGAACTGTTATTACAATGGAAATGTCGGAATATTTGCCATGCATCTTCATGGAATAACCTGTATAACCCTTTGGTGCAAATGGGACACCATGCCTATTTTATAATTTTTTTCTTTCTAATTTTCTAATTACAAGCAAAAAGATCTTTTGGTATTTTTTTATTACATAAAAGATTCTAATAGTTCTCAAAAAATCTGTTAGATTATCGGAATTTCATTTGTAATAAAATTTAAAATTCAAAAAAATAGTTTGAAGATATTTGTTTTCATTCATAATCAAAAAATTTTATCAATAATTGATTTTGTAAATTTAAGTAATTTCAAAGATGAATAACTGTTTCTCTTAGTTTTAAATAACTGCAAATTTGAAAAAATATTATTAGGACGTGAGCAATGTTTGGAAAATTTTGCATTTAACGCCGAAAAAGACACTTGCTGTATTTCATAGCCATAAATTGTTAAAATGCAAAATATAGTACTTTCCACTGATTTCGACCCAAATTAACACAAAGTAATGAGAAAGTATGGAAAAAAATAATGTTTAAAAGAAGTTATGCTTCAAAGGGTTAAAAACCTTATTACAAAAACTTTCCGTGAATGCACCTGAAACAGAAATGTATATGAATATAATGATTCAATATATTCATTTGCATTATCATTCACATAATTTTCCATCTCAGTTAAATAAATTTAGTTAAAAACTTTCGGAATTAAAAGAAATTTTTTTAAAATACAAAAACACTAACTGTAACATTTATAAACTTGAATGGGATTGTAGTAATGATTTTTAATAGCATCACTAAATTACCATACTTTATTAAAAACATTACAAATATTTAATTCGTCAGAAGTGGGTGTAGCTTAGCAATAATGGTAGTAATTTCGGCTTTATATGAAACCAACATAACTCAAATTATCAATGATAATATTATTTGATTCTTGTATTTATTATTTTTTTTGGGTTCCATAGACATTCTTAATTTAAAAATAAATCACTGCAAATATTTCCATGTCCAGCAAGATTGTATTTGACTCGAAAGTTTTGAATTAATTTATGCAAGTAAAAAACAAGAATTTTATAAATCAATGTGAAATACCAATTCTTATTATGCCCTGACTAATAACAAATAGTTTTAAAATTTTTTTTGTTGTAAGTTCACAACAATTAGATAGTTTTAATTTTCATTTTAATAAAATTTCCAGCAACAATCGTTATTTAAGAGACTTTCTTCTTTTTTAACAATATATTGTTTCAGTTATAATACTAAAATTTCAACAATTGAAAACATCAAAGAATGTTTCATTTTTTGAAAAAGAATTTCATTCTAATTTTTGAGATTGTGAGTTATACTATAACGTTTGAGCTTAAACTTCTAGAGCAGTGTTTCCCAAAGTGTGGTA